GCTCAAACAGAAATGGTGCTATGACGTCAGAGGATTGGAGTTTGACGGCGATCAACGCGATGATCCGCTCGGACAAGCAGTCGACTTTATCGAATGTACCAACGATCAATTCAAATACGTCGAATTTCAAGGCTACGATTACGGCTCAGACAGTGATAATATAGGCACCAGAACTATCGGTTACATTATCGTGCACACCTGCCGAATCGATGCGAAAGAACCCGGCGTTCGGAACGACGTCGATAGAGCATTCTTTTTCAAGACGGCGATTGATGTTGCGTAAGCGAATATCATTATTATACAGTGTTCTCGTTCATTTTCAGGCAACTTGATCTATTTTTCGTTTTCACTCTCAATATCTCAGACTAAGCTGTATCATTGATTTCCTCCATTTGGCTCTGTCGGCAACTACGTTTTCTTTTCATTCAAATGAACATAAAAACGTTTTTTCTGTATACTCCAACTACGAAACGCATAGCACTTGTACTAAATGAACTTTCTTTAAAAGATGCATAAATCAATAACTGATTGAAATTAGTAACAAACAAAATTATTTGCAAAAAGAGATGAGATTTGCAATGGGCATACTTATTTTCGGCCTCCATACATCACGCGAGCCTCCTTGGCCAGACGATCGGCTCCGTCGTTACCTTCTTGTCCAGAATGGCCGCGGATGTGACGGAAACGCACTTCCTGAAAATGATTGGATGTTTTTGATGTGAAATCTCTCATCTGACAAACCTTCATTTGTGCGACCAGACTCTCGATTTCTTCGATCAAATCGCGGTTCGCAACCGGAACGCCGTTTCTATTGATCCATCCGGCCTCCTTCCACCCGTCGAGCCACAGGTACATCGTGTTGAAGATCAGCTTGCAGTCGGTGATGACATAGATCCGGAGGATTTCAAGGGCCAGGGCCTGAAAAGAGAACTTCTCGAGTTGTTGGTGAAGTCTTCCTACCTTTTTCAGAGCTTCAATGACGGCGGTGTACTTGGCGCGGTTGTTCGTCTGCACTCCCGTCACCGGGTACATTCCGTTGCGCGCATCATCGGGTCCCCAGAAGACTCCGGCCCCAGCTTTCGCGTTAGCGTATCCGTTCCTCGTGCACGATCCGTCGGTGTAGACGACCGGAATTCCGTTTTTTTCGAACATTCCGCTCTCCTCTGGACGGTCCGACATGGCCTTCTCTCTGGCCATCCAACGGGCCCGACGGTTATCCTTCTTCGGAATGTACATGACTTCTACTTTCTGAAAATAAGAAAGTAGGAAATAAAAGCGGGAATTGCTCACTTGGAACAGTTGCGTCAAGTTGCGAAACGCAAAAAGTGTTCCTCGTTGACGACAGGTCTTCTTTTGCAGTTTCTGAAACCGTTGCAGATCCACTTGGACACGCACTCGCTGATGCCTTTGGCCGCGTACGCCGAATTCGTGAAGATCATCACGGTCGCGGTGTGCGGAGCCACACTCTGAAAATATAAGTCTTACACATAGAAGCCCTGCCCATTGTAAATTTTTTTATTTTCTATTGAAAAAAAGAACAGAACCTCCAACTCGGCGTTTTCCAAAACAGCGTTCAAAGCCTTCTCGATGGAAGTCAGATCGGCAACTTGATTAGTTGCTGCGGCCCGTCGACGAATCCTACTCGATGAATGTCTGAAAAATTTGTCAGTTTTTCGTGCGATTCTATCAAGATGCTCACTTCCGTCGGCAAAATGGAACGCCCACGCGGCATTTGCGAAAGAGAACCCGTTGTTTTTGGCACGCGCCCGACGCAAAAACTTTGTACATTTGAGGAATGCGAAGAAAATTCGCCAAAAAAATGAATAAATGTCCAAAAAAACTGTTTTAGGTCTCGACACGATGTACCCGGAGTTTAAAGGCGCACGACGAAATAATTTTGTTATTTCTGAATTTCTGACTGAGTGTGTGCAATAGCTCAATTATTATTCGGAACTGATTAAAAGAACAGAATAACAGTTTCAGAAAATTGGAGAAATAGAGAAAACACACAATTGCGAAATGATCAGATTGAGAGATTGGAAAGAAAAGCTTCTGAGCCGATACAGTTTTTGCACTTAAGAGAAAGAGATCAAACACACTCAGAACGAGTAGATTTTTAGCGGCGCATCAAGAAGGCGCGACGGCGTGACTCAGCGGCTCTCCGTGCCATCTTATCGGCCATTTCGTTGCCGTGATTGCCCTGGTGTCCGTACACGTGCTTGAATTCGATATACTGAAAATAAAAGTAAGTGTTTCTGCAATGTGAACTTGCTCACTTTGAAATCTCTTCTCAATACATCAATGTATTGGATGAGCCGCTGGTTGGAAACCGGGCGGTTGTTCGCATTATTCCAACCGTTCTGTTTCCAGACGGAAATGTACTTGTCGAGGCAATTGATCACGTACTGAGAATCCGTGTGGATTGTCAGACAGCGGACTCGATTCTCCCGGGCCTGAATAATAGTTCTATTTATTTTTTGCAAATAGTTCGAATTATGCTCACAAGTTGAATGGCCATTTTGACGGCGACCAACTCGGCCTTGTTGTTCGTCTGAGTCCCGTAAATTCCGCCGCTTCTGTTCCGATCGTCATCTGAGAAGATCTTTTGAAAATTGAAAAAAATATATCTGTTTACGAACTGTCGCCGAAGTACATCGCCCATCCGGCCATGCAGCCGTACCGCCCGTTGTTCGGACAAGAACCGTCGGTCCAGACACTCCAGTGCTTCATAACCCTGAAGAAACTGAAAAGATAAACTTTGTGCTCGCGTCCTACAAGAATTGTTGCTATATTTTCTAAATAGATAAAAAATTCGACGAAAACGAAGCAAAAAAGAATGGAAGGACATCCTCCTGAACTTTATAAAGGGGAAAAAAATGAGAGAACCGGTTTTTTTTCGCGCAAGCGATAGGAAAGGTAAAGTTTTAAAAGAAATTAACCTGAGAATATGGGCAATAGTAAAGCTTTGAACGAACAAAAAAACGAACAAAAACACGATAAAAGAATGGAACAAGATTCAGAATTCGTAATAATTTCAGTGGAAACTGAACAAATAACGACGACGCGAATCGGCCGCATCTCTCGCCATTTCGTCCGCCCGCTCGTTGTTGTAATTTCCGCAGTGAGCCGGAACGTGCACGATGTTCACCTCCTTAAAATGTTGTATTGAGGTAAAAGTCCAAAAGAAATCACGAACATCCATGGAATCTCTCAACTCTTCGATTTCCTGGATCAACTCTCTGTTCGCAACCGGCTGACCGTTGCTGTTTATATAGCCGTTGATCCGCCACAGATTGATGAAGTTGTTGAGCGAATCGACTACATATCTCGAGTCCGTGAAGATGGTGACGCGGTACACTTGGCTTCTCCGAGCCTGAACACAGATTTGTCATTTGACCTAAAACAAAGAATTTTTTACCGTCAGAATGGCCATTTTCACGCCCACGAGTTCTGCGATGTTGTTGGTTTGAACGCCGATGACTCCTCCGTTCCGGTTTCTTCTGTCGCCTGAATAAAAAATTTAACATTTAAAAATTTCTAATTTCTAACCGTCGCCGAAGAAAATGGCCCAGCCGGCCACCGCGTTCGGTCTTCCGTTGTTCGGGCAAGCTCCGTCGGTCCAGATGAACCAATGCTCATCGTCGTCGTCGTGGCGGTAGTTGCGGTGCATTTTCTGAAAGGTTTTTGTCTGGAAAGATAGGAAACGTTTTCTTGAAAACACAGATAAAATCATTTGTCGACTTGCACATGCTTACATTTTATCCTGGGATCAGGGAGCCCAACAGCAATAAATATTTTTCTATTCTCTCTTGGAGTTTGAAAGCAAAGAGGCATCCGTTTGAGTGTCCTATCGATAAAAGAAAAAGAAAATTTCTGAAATTTATAAAAAAAAGTTCGACGAAACATGGGTGGTCCGACATAATAGAACTGGGCAGAATAGAACCGCGACATAATAGAACTGCGCAGAATAGAACCGCGACACAATAGAACCGGCCACAATATAACTGTTTGGAGCGTCTTTTAAACGTTTCTGTAGAATAATTATTTCGTAGAAGAAGATAATTTTTGAATCTCGTGATCGATTTATTGCATTCATTAATTTCACTTCTGTCGTGATCCCTTTTCTCTACGGTAACGAAAACCCACAGAAAATAATTTTATTGTACTATCAAAAACGAAAGGAAACTAATTTTCTAGGTATAAACTGTGGTCTTCTGCTTAATTGTTCGAGAGACGAAAAATTTTGCGAAAGTTAATTGAAAGGAACGGACAAAATTCTCATATAAATACGCAAAAACAGTTCTATTATGTTGCGGTTCTATTTTGTCGCGGTTCTATTCTGCGCAGTTCTTTTCTGCGCAGTTCTACTATTATAGGGGCACCGCACAGAAATGGCGCTCTGTTGAGAAACTCTTTTTGCAGTGCAAATTGAGCGACCTCGGGGCCGAGTTCGAAAATTTAGGCCACGTTTTCAGTGGAAAAATACTTCGCGGCCTAGAATTTCGGCCAGATTGCGAACAGCGCGCCCTTTCTGTCCGGTGCCCCTATAATATGTCGCGGTTCTATTATGTCGCGGTTCTATTCTGCCCAGTTCTATTATGTTGGACCACCGAAACATGTTTTTCCTAGAAACAGAAACAAATCAGGGATTTGAAGTGAGGAAACAGCGGCGGAAGAGGCGTTTTGAGGAAACTGCGGCGGAACGCTGTTTCGCCAAACTCAAATCGTGGCGAGACCACTGCGGCGGCAGCTTTGGCGAAACGGCGGCGGAACGCCGTTGCAACGGAAAACGACGCACTGTTCTGGCGGAGTTCTGGCGAAACAGCGGCGGCACTGTGGCGAAACACGGTTGTAAGTGTGTTCCACCCGCTTTCCGCCGCTGTTTCCTCACTTCAAATCCCTGAGATTTTAAAAAAATTGTAAATTTCCGAGAAAACTGTAAAACTTGCTTTTTTCGGTGGTCCGCTCTTTGAGCCGTAGTTGTTGCGGATTTCTCCTTGACCGTGGGAGAAGCCTGCTTTCCGAAAAAACCGCTTTTCTCTTGGCGGATGCTCCTTCTGGACCTTGTCGTCATTCAGCAGGTAAGCCAGCATGAACATGCTGTCCGTTGTTTCTGGCGAATCTCCGGTGACCTCTCTGAATGCTTTGAGCTTTTCGACCATTCTGAATGCCGCCGGATTCTTGTCGAGCAGGACCAGCTCGTTGTTACGATCTCTGAGGGCCTTGACAACTTCGTTTATCGCCTCCGTCGGTTTTCGGCTTCCAATCCTTTTGAGAGCATTCCAATCAGTTTCACATTGAAATCAGCGTGCACTTGGAGTCCTCTCTGCGATAGTACCGGCGGTTTTTCCTCTTCTCTCGGTTTAGCGATCAATTGGATGGCTGGCCTGATCATATCGAGCAACTCGGCCGTGATTGCGTCCATCATCGCCGGAATCTCCATTTTGTCCGCCATCCTTGTGCCTCTTCAGATTCTCACACCTTCTAAATTTAAAACTTTTTTATATTGCAACTTTCTGAAAAAACTGTTTGAAATTGCGTTTTTTTGGACAAGACACATTGAATATCAACGAGATAATGAGGTAGAAATATAAATAATGAGGGAGAAATAGAAATAGATCACGACGAACACAAAAAAATTAAAAAAAAGACAAATTCACAAGATTTATTTATTGTACTATTTTAAATTACGCATTCCTATCAGTTTTGTTGATACAATTGAGCTCCTTTTCTGGCCAACTCGTCCGCCATTTCGTTTCCGTGTATACCCGCATGACCCCGAACATGAATGAATTTCACCTGAAACAACGAAATTTCAAGGGAAACAACGGAATTTTAATACCTTAAGCTTCTGTCTCAAATTATCGATTTTCACGAGGACGTCTTTGTTGAGGACGGGCGTTCCGGTCGAAGTCACCCATCCCTTCCGCTTCCACCCCTGAATCCACATCGTCATCGACTGGATCAGCAATTTCGAGTCCGTCTTGACCACCACCCTCGGCAGCCCTTTCTCGATGGCTTTCTCGAGTGCCTTCTCCACGGCAATAAGCTCGCCGCGGTTGTTGGTCGCCGCTCCGTAGACCGCTCCGAACGCGTTGTCCTCGCTTCCCTCGCCCCAGTACACTCCCCATCCCGCTTTCGCGTTCTTCCGTCCGTTCGACGAGCACGCGCCGTCCGTGTAGACGACCGGAGCGTTGACGAATTCAGGCTCGATTACTGGAAAAGAAGAATGAGATTTAATGGTTCGAGCACAAAAGTCTCACCCTCTTCTCCTTCCACCGCATTTCTCTTGGCCGCCGAGGCGTCAGAACTGCTCGGCGATCCGGCTTTCCGCTTCCTGGATTTTCCGGCCACGAACGGAGACTTCGAAGACGTGCCCGCGATGGTCACATTCTCGGCGATGAACTTACGCGCTTCCGCTTCGCTGCCAAACTTTTTGAATCTAAAACAATGTTTGGTGCCTGAATGGGAAACGTTTTGGCTAGAAACGGTGCACTGGCTGGTGGGGGGAGTTACCTCGGATTCTGGAAGCCATCGACTTGCGTTTTGCACTCATTCCATGTACGGTAGATGCCGACCTGCAGAAATGAAGTTGAAATTTTTAGTTTTCTAGAACCCTCCATCCGTTTCCTTCGTGACCTCTCCCCCGAACCTTTCAGATGGTGCCAGGTTTCTGGAGTAAAGATCTAGAGCATCTGATAAGGACTGGCTATAAAAGGAGGGGAAGTGTGAGGATCCTCACAGAGTCCCAACTCTCTCAACCGAATCGAATCGCCATGGCCCAATCCGTGCCCCCAGGAGACATCGCCACGCAGCCGAACGCGAAGATCGTGTTCAACGCGCCGTACGACGACAAGCACACCTACCACATCAAGGTGATCAACTCGTCGGCCCGCCGCATCGGATACGGAATCAAGACGACGAACATGAAGCGTCTCGGAGTGGACCCGCCGTGCGGAGTGCTCGACCCCAAGGAGGCTGTGCTTCTCGCCGTCTCGTGCGACGCGTTCGCCTTTGGACAGGAGGACACGAACAACGACCGCATCACGATCGAGTGGACCAACACCCCCGACGGCGCCGCCAAGCAGTTTCGTCGCGAGTGGTTCCAGGGTGACGGAATGGTCCGTCGCAAGAACCTCCCAATCGAGTACAACCCATAGATAGACCCAAAGATTTGGATAATAAACAGCCTCATGGTCTCTTTTGCCTTTTCTTACCTGACGGCCACTCGCCACTGCATAATATTGATCTGTTTTACCCATTTCGGCGAGGGAGCTCCGCCGATCTTCAACGCTTCGAATAATACGCTGAAAATCTCGAAAAAGCACGATTGGGAGGCTTTTGACTGAAAATATTGGAAAGGAAAACCATAAGAGAATGGGGAATTTTAGGCGGAAATCGGTAAAATGAACACTTTATCAATGTGGTAAGTATTAGAGAACGATAAAATGATAGAATTCGTAACGATCACTTCTTCTTCTTCTTCTCCACAGCTTCTTCCTTGTCGGCCTTGCGCTTCGACTCGCGCTTTTCTGGTTTTTCAGTCTTATCGGCCGGCTTCTCCTCCTTCTTCTTCGTCTCTGAAAAATTCATACATTCACAAATTCATCCCAACTTTCTCTGGAAACAGTACCAGTTTTCTCCTCTTTTCCGTCGTAAAACTTGTGGAAATAGGCGACCGCCTCGTCCAAACTCGACCATTTCTTGTGAAGCGGCTGTGGATAGTTTTTGATCTGAAAAATCTTTGAAAATATGAATGGAAACCTCCGAACTCACGTGTTCTTTCACCGCATTGTAATCGGTGAACACTCCGACGACGTGTCCGCGAGCCACTGCGTAGTACGTCGAATGGGTCGGCTCTGGGAAGGATACTGAAAAGTGATTTTTTAGGAAATTCTAAAGGAAATGCACTCACACTCGACTTTTTGCGGTTTCCGATCGTCGACGTACTTCTGCGCCTCCTCCTCGCTGTCAAACTTCTTGTAGACGGGCTGCGGAAACTTGTCGATCTGCTTTTTGGCGTCCGCCCATTCGGTGAACACTCCGCGCTGGAAGCCGTGAGCCACCGCGTAGAACTTACTCATTCTGCAACATTTAAGTGGTTAATTGTAAACAAAAACGGGGGAAATCTAGGAGAAAAGTAACAATAGAAGATTTTGAGTTTATTTTGGGTCGGGGGACGAGTATGCACAAATATTCAGTAGATGGGATTCCGTATAAGACAGTAATTAGCGAATAGAAGAGGGTCGGATCACAAGTAAAATATAAAAGAAGAAGAGAGCCGATCAGTCACGGAGCTCGGCGAGCCGCTGAGCCATTCCTTCAAAATCCTCTTGGACGGCCGGCGCGACACGGTCTCCGAGGTGCGATTTGACCGCCAACGGAGCTTTTCCGAGCTCGCCTTGCGTCACTTCCCACAGAATGTTCTCCACTTCTTCCTGAAAAAAAGGATGGGAATTAGAGAGTTCTCCTATGATTCTAGCCAATTCTAGCCGAGAAATTTGACACTTTTCTCACTAAATTTTCGAAAAAAAGAAGAGAAAAAAGAGTAGAGTTTCGACACATGTTGCGTGTTTGTGAGTGAGTGAAATCGACAGCGCCCAGCTGCCAGCGGGCGGAAATGTGCGGGAGAGGAAGGGAGGAAAACAACACGGCCAAGGACAAATACTTTGTTGACTTCGAAATGGCCAAAGATTGCACGCACATCTGACGAGTAGAGTTGATATTCGGGAATGTGGGTGCAAACTGAGTTCCGATTTGAAATTCAAAATTTTGAATTGTTTTCATGTTCTTTTTACTTCAAAAGTAGGAACGCGGGCGAAGACAGGAGAAACATCATCCCGTACGAGACCATTCCCGTTTGGATACTTGTGTTATTTTTCACGTTTAAATTTTTAGCTTTCTAGAGCCTTCCATCCGTTTCCTTCGTGACCTCTTCCCCGAACCTTTCAGATGGTGCCAGGTTTCTGGAGTAAAGATCTAGAGCATCTGATAAGGACTGGCTATAAAATGAGGGAAAGTGTGAGGATCCTCACAGAGTCCCAACTCTCTCAACCGAATCGAATCGCCATGGCCCAATCCGTGCCCCCAGGAGACATCGCCACGCAGCCGAACGTGAAGATCGTGTTCAACGCGCCGTACGACGACAAGCACACCTACCACATCAAGGTGATCAACTCGTCGGCCCGCCGCATCGGATACGGAATCAAGACGACGAACATGAAGCGTCTCGGAGTGGACCCGCCGTGCGGAGTGCTCGACCCCAAGGAGGCTGTGCTTCTCGCCGTCTCGTGCGACGCGTTCGCCTTCGGACAGGAGGACACGAACAACGACCGCATCACGATCGAGTGGACCAACACCCCCGACGGCGCCGCCAAGCAGTTCCGTCGCGAGTGGTTCCAGGGAGACGGAATGGTCCGTCGCAAGAACCTCCCTATCGAGTACAACCCATAGGAATCTCCTGTGAAATAAACGTTCCGTCGTTCTTTTGTTTGTTTTGTTTAGTCTTTTCGCTGGCTTGGCTAGAGTCTTCTAGAATTCTGCTTACCGCCGCCTTTTCTTCCAGATCGGGCGCTTCGACGCTTTCCAACGTCTCTTCGATCATTTCCTCGATGATTCCCAACTTCATCATTTCCGACGACATTTCGCGCATTGTCTTCATTATTTCGGGCACCTAAATCTCTGGTTTTCGACAGAATTTCTAGTTTTTGTCAAACCTTGACCAACTGCTGCATGCTTTTCATGACTTCGGTGGATTTCTGCAGAGATCCGGCCATTCTCATGGTCGCCAGCTGCTCCTGCATGCACATAATCACCGAGTTGATTTGAGCCTTTGACATGTGAATTTTGTTAATCGCCTACAATATATGTGTATTGTTTTTTAGAATAGTTTTTCAATAAAACTCACTTTTCTCGACTGAACTAGTGATTTCGCAAGAATCAGACAGACTTCTTTGTCTCCTTTCTTGGCGGACGCTTTGATTTCCTTCGTCACTTTCTGCTCTTCTCTGGCGATCGCCGTGATTTGACGTTCGAGCGCTCGCATTTCTTGTCGCATTTTCCGTTGGAGCTCGCGAACTTCCTCCTTTGGATCCTTCTTTTTGCCGAACAAACCCATCATCTGAAAAAGCGGCTGAAAATTATCGAAGAAACACAATTTTTCACATTTTCCGAAAAAAATCGATTAAAAAGACAAAAAATTCACGAGAAAACTTACAAAATTACGAGGAAAAGAGTGGGAAATGCCAGAGAAAAAGCTCAAAAAACTGGAAATAAAAATGACAAATTTCTAGTCCATGGCCTAGGTTTCGGCATACTCCGCCCATTTTGGCAATCCTGGCACACTATAAACTGCAAGTCTGGCACGGTTTATTTTGGGAATTCTATTGATTTCCAATTTCTGTGGAGTCCTATTCGCTACGTTTTAGCTCATTTACGACCGTAAGAAGGTAGAATCTTGTTAATTTTTTGCTTGAAGATAAGTCATCTTTTCATTTTTATCGATTGTTTTGTGTGTTTAAAACTGACTTTTCGAAAGTTTCGAAATGCACACATAGCCTACGATTCTGAAAGACAATTTCAAAAGCGGCAGTTTCTCACGGTTTTATCGTTGATATTTCCAGTATTTAGTACATCACCTATGACTCACTTCGCCCTCATCGTTTTTTTTATCAACGCTTTTCTCTTATGTCAACAGAAACGTCACCGCATTTTTCAGGTAAACACAGACAAGCCAACCGCCGATTTATGTCCATCGCAAATCTTAACAGACCAGCTGGTAAGCTAATTTGTATCGATTTTTGTGTAAATTTACCAGAAATTGAAAATTTTAGACGCCTTCGAACAACTTGAGACCGAGGACGGTGTTCGACAAGGAGTTTGCCACATCCGCATCCAGCAGCGTACCGGAAGAAAGACTATCACCACAGTTCAAGGAATCGGCACCGAGTACGATCTCAAGAGAATCGTGCAGTACCTGAAGAAGGTAAGATTTTACCTAGTTTCTCCCAAGATTTTTAATTCAACGTCCGCTTTGTCTTGCTGTCCTCCACTCATTTCTTTCTTTGTGTGTTTTGTAGTGTTTTCCTTGATTGTATCTTGTTCACTTTGGGGGATTCAGGCGCATTCTCACTGAAAGAATAAGCTGGAAACGCAGCAGCAAAGCGGTTAGACGTTCCTACATTTCCTACACTGTTCATATTTTCAGTGAGAATGCGCCCTGCTCTCCGCATGCTGGCCAAATTGGCCCTATTCCGCTTCTTTTCCGTCTACCTTGTCGCCTCGTGGTTTGTGCCCGATGAGCTCTATCAATCCGCCGAAGTCGCCCACCATCTTGTCTACGGCACGGGACATCTATCATGGGAGTGGCGACATTCATTACGTTCCTATTTTCATCCGGCGATCATTGCCCTCATTATCAAAATCCTCAATTTTTGCTCTTTGGACACCCGCATTCTAGTATATCATGTCCCAAGATTAGCCCATGCTCTTTTATTCTCTTTAGCCGATTTCTCATTCTACAGAATCTGTAGGCGCTTATGCATCACCAAAGGCATTGCAAACCTGTCCTTTACCACTTATATCAGCTCCTGGTTCGTTTTCTATTGTGCCCCTAGAACTCTCTCCAATTCTCTGGAGACTTCTCTCACTTTGATCGCCTTAAACTGGTTTCCATTTGAAAAGACCGCCTACAAAGGATCCACTTGGCCCTATATAGCTCTAGGAGTCCTTACAATTGTCATCCGTCCCACCGTTTCCCTTCTCTGGCTCGTTTTCGGACTCTATCACATGTACCATCATTCCCACCCCTTCCGACTCCTTTTCCGAACTGTCCTTCCCGTCACCGTACCCATTCTGATCGCAGTCACAATCATCGATTCGTGGGCCTACGGAGCTGTGACTGTTCCTCTCTGGAACTTCCTGCAATTCAATGTGCTCCAGGGAGGAAGCGCTCTTTCGGAGTTCATCCTGGTATTGGTACCTGGTTTCTGGAATCCCTGCAGTGCTCACAGTTCAAGCCATCGCCATCATCATCGGATTGCTCGGACCAAATATCTTCCGGCCGACTCTACTTCCGTTCTTTGCCACCGCCTTCTACATCACTGTGCATTCTTTGCTTCCGCACAAAGAGCAACGATTTCTCCTCCCTGTCATCCCTCTTCTGTGCATCTACGCTGGAGGAGCGTTTCAAAATCTGAAGAAGTGGCAAGGAAGTGCTGTGGCCGTGATGATCGCCGTCAACGTCGGAGTTACGATCTTCACATCTCGTTATCATCAAGTCGGACCGTTTACCGCGCCAAGAAGGATAATGGAGGAGTGGAGAGGTCCTCATGGAAAACTATCCGTCGCTGCTCTGATGCCTTGCTACTCCCTGCCCGGACATGCGTTTTGGCATGATGAGCTCGAGACTCTACGTCTTCTGGACTGCTCTCCCGATCTGGATAACCTGAGAGCGCCAACAGAACTCGACGAATCGGATCAATTCCATGCGAACGCCACGAAATGGCTAATTGAAAAGTTCTCACTGGAACATCGAAGTTATCAGCGAGTTCTGATGTACGAGAAAATGTATGAATCGTCACGCCAATGGTTCGAGCAGAACGGATGGCATCAGTGCATCGAGAAGATCTGGCACTCGATTGCTCTCACTTCGTCTCGAGAAGACACTTATATGATTGTACTGTGTCGGAATGGGTATTAGGTCTTGATGGTCCCCTTTGTTATATCTTTTTTCTTACCTCCTCCAATTGTGGTTGTGCTTTAATCGAGCTTCCTTTTGCATTCTTTTTCATAAAATAAATCAAAATGAATTCTAAAATAATATTTTCAAATAATTTCAGAAGCACAGTTGTAACGGCACCATCGTCGAGCATCCGGAATATGGAGAGGTCATCCAATTGACCGGAGATCAGCGCGAGAAGGTCAAGGACTTCCTCATCAAGGTCGGAATTGTGAACGAGGCCAACTGCAGACTGCACGGATTCTAAACCGCCCGACTTCTAACAAATCTCCAAGATGACGTTCTTCTGATCCCTTTCTTTGTCTCCCTTAAAGTATTCGTGCACTTTTCGCTTTTTCCGTATAATATTCCCTCTTTCTACGCCCCTTTCCCGTTCACTCCTCCTTGGCTCTTTTCTCCCGTTTGAATTCCATGGATCTGTCCCTTTCTCAATGTTATTTTCAGTCCCTTTATCACACATGAACTTGTTATCTTTGAGTTATTGAATTTTTATTATGATTCTTTTTTCAGCATATAATTGGGATGTGGGGGGAGTAAGAAGTGAAAATAAAAGAGAAAGAATAGGATGGAACCCATAGATGTCAAGGAAATTTTATGTTTTCTGTGATGGGGAGAGGGAGAAATAGTAAAATGGGGAAAGTGGGGGCTAAAACCGAGAAGTGACTAGAGAACGGAAGCATCGGTAGACGTGGGCGTATCGGGGCGACGAACGAACGGGCGGATCACAGCACAATCTGTCGGTCGTCGAAGAAGTGCGATCGTCGCATTGCGTTCAGTTCGTGGCGAGACCTCCGATGTTTGGGCGTCGCGAATTCGTCGATGGTCCCGCAACGACCGGATGGGCGGTACGTAGGCGTCGAGGAGCACATTGCCACGTTTCGGTTCTCGTCGATCTGCAAACATTTGGAAATATAGAAATTGGAGAGGGATTTAAAATTTCAAAGAATTCGGTTGGTGTCAAAACTGAGAAGTTTAAGCAATTTTTGACCGAAATTTGATTTTCTCACTGATTTCTGATCTAAAAGCACTTTTTTTTGATAAATTTTTAGGACCAACACTCATAATTAGTAAAAATCAATAATTGCTTACCTTGGTGAGCGCGGTGGAGTGTCGACTGAAAGTGCGCGGCGGGCGGTCGATTGTGGTCGGCGGGACGGGCGGCAACTGCTTGAAATTGGTCTTTTGCCACTGGACAAAGTGCAGAGTGCACGGGAGATGTCCTTCGAGCACCGAGTGGTGCGTCAGCATCATTTGAAGCGTCGGGAACGGCTTTTTCGTCGCGGAGAGCTGAAAAATAGGGGTTATTGGGTGAAAAGATCAGGTTGTTGGGTTACCTTGAGACGGAATCCGTGCTCGTTCCTAATAATCAAATAGTGTGAGATTCCGCTGGGATTGTGCGTGACGGGGACCCGCATGGAAAGTGCCAAACACTTGGACTTGCTCTCCGAGTACCGGATCACGAACGCGCCTTCCGGCTGGCTCAGCAGATTGTACGCGAGCGAATCTCTGCAAATTAATTCATTTAATGTATCTAGACGAGCCAAAATTCAAACGGATTAACAATAATAATCGCACGCGCGCGCGCGCCTTAATTATCTATTTTATTGACGCGGGGGAAGCTCGCCGAGCAGCTGTCAGCTGTCTTGACATTCCCATACCATTTCGGGCGAGCACAGGTGTTTGCCGAAAGAGTAATTAGGTCTATTTGAAAAGAGTTCCCACAAACCTGGATGGCATTCCCACAAAGTAGCTGCAATTGTCGAGTTGCGCGGTGATTGCCGAATCGATCGGATAGATCCATTCGCCGAGTTTATCGTCGAAGACGAGCGCGGATTGCGGGGGCGGTGGGACTGGCGACGTGGCAGTTGAGGGGGAGGTTCCGTTGGAGGAAACGGAGGAAGAACTCGCGACGGAGCTGGTCGAAGTGGTCGTGGAGCCGATCGAGCAGAGCTCCGAGGGCCGCGGCTCTTCCGGCACTGGCGACGCGCAGCGCATCTGTTTCTGGAGGTGCAGGAGCTGCTCTTTCGTCGGCGTCGACGGCTCGATTGTGGACATCTAAAATATATATATATTATTGGAAAGGAATATAGTGTGGCCGAAGACGGTCTATGTGGTCTGACGTAATGTTTTATAACACACTAGTGACGGAGAAAGAGCGAGAGGACGGGCCGAGCCTTGAAGGGCTTGGCGGTTGCGCAACAAAATACTACCTCGGGCAGTTGAGGAGAGAGAAAGAGAAGAGAAGAAACAATTATCCACGAGTGGATAAACAGAGTAAACGGGGGCGCTTGTCAAGGGTGCATTGGGTCATCGGGTTAGTTCAGCACTGTGCACGGGTACCCACGGAATAAATGCAAATGTTAGTCTAGTGCTTAAAGATAGAGGTGCTATGTTGGCGGAAATTTATGTTTTTAATTTCGCGCTTCGATGCTGTGCTCTACAGTTTGTTTTGTTGGTCTACAAATTCTTGTGAGTATTCTTCCTACCTAGAGCTGCATTTGTTCAGTTGACACCTTTTCCTTACAGCTATTTTGAAGCCATTTGGAAGGAAGTTCTAGTAGTCATTTTACAAAGACATAGTAGACCCTAGTACCTAGCAGTAGAGTAGTCCTCAAGTTCACATTCTGCTGTCCGCTCACGCAACCCCAATACATCACACCGGTTTGCGCAACTTCCTACCTCGCTTATCAAAATCGTGATGATGTTACTTACTGTCATCATCACGGAACCACCACACAATTATCACTGAATGCTCGTGTCCTTGTCATGTAACATGACCTGATAACCATCGGACCACACGCAGGCAGGCACAGGCGGGCTGAGGGGTTGAGCAGGGGGCATTGACGGTTACGTCAGAGGAGGCACAGGAAATGCGAGCGGATGATTATAGGTTTCGGGGCACAATTAGTGATTGAACTGTGGAGCGACTCACTCTTTTCGGGTTTACAGACGATGTGGAGCTCGAGAGACGATGAATTGCCGAGGAGAAGACCGCCGAGACGGGACGACGTTTTCTGGAACGAAGAAAAGGCAATGATGGGTTTACAACCGTGGTGGTTTTGGTGGGCAAAGGAAAAGGTTTTATTTCTGCTGGCCCTTCCGGTTATTAAGAAGCTGCTATGGAGGGTAATGATCGAGAGTAGAGCTATCAAGGAAAACGAGAGAAGGCATAAAAGGTACCTTTTGCACTGTCCTCCCTCATCGACAGTCTGACTGCCTTTTTTGCCGAGGAATCGGTTCAAGAACACCGTCGACGCGCTTCGCTTCTCGGTCATTGTCGACGCGCAGCTTGTCGGGTGCATCTGAAAGTGGAACTTAAAAAAAAAAATCGATAGAAAAAGTGAACGGAAGGAAGTGGGTAGGGGTGAGTGCGCGAGAAGACGAAGGGGACCATTGTTTGTGTTCGACGCTCCGGTTACCATCATAAACCGTTTGGAGACATCCAATTGACAAACATCATGGGGATAGCAATTGAAGAAGAAAAGAGCATGTGGGGAAGGAGTTTTATAAATCTGGTATGAAAATCTAGATGTTAGGCACCTAACTCATTCCTAAAAGGAAATGACTCTTCCGGAGGGGTACCCCCTTCCTTCAGCTCCGCCCCTTTTATGCGTCCTCTCAGTGGGGGGATGTGCAGAACAATGGATGCTAATCTCGGTGGTGGTGACCACTGGGGACGGACCTAGAGCCACCATCATAAATGATCATAAAAGTGTGTCTGAGGGCGGGAGCTTCCAAGGAACGCAGTGATGTAATCGAAAGAGACCGAGATTGTAAAACAGGTGACTAGCGGGATGGGGAGCAGAAGAAGAAGAAGAAGAGCGGGCGGGCGGGTGGTTCTTGGTTCTCATGGTAGGCTATCAATGGGAAGAACCAATGATAAGAGGCGATGGGATCGGATGATAAGGGCGTGTAAAACAGTTATACAACCGGGGCGGCATTTGAAACAGCAAAAATATTAGAATGGGCAGTCAAGCATCAAGAAAAGCTTTGCCCAGTTTAATGTTAGGCCGTTAATAGAAGGGCATCCCAATAGCTTTCATTCAAGACAATATATCTCAGCTATCGATAGAGATATAAACAAGTTGCCAACTAATAAAATGTAAAAAATTTCCAAGTGAGCAATTTATCAGTTGACCGCTTTTTGATATTTCTGCCGGCAGTTGAGATATAACGTCTCGAATATTGGATTGATGATCGAAGCTTTTAGAAAGGTTGGGAGTGATAAATGAAGCTCACAATGAGTTCTATACAATGAGTTGCAAGCCGTGCAATTTCAACGGTTTACGCTGCCACGTATGCGTATAGAACTCAATAAGGATCTACATTTTGCACTCTCAACTCGAACGAAAATGTTGAATGGGAATTAGGTTATATTCTACAGCAACTAGGCATCTCGCCCTACACCCTCCCAGTTTTAAACCAGAAAACTCCGGGTCATAAGCCAGTAAAAGTATGTTGTGGTGAATTTGCGTTTCTGCCGATTCTCACGATCTCAATTACCATAAACTCTGTGGCTTATGGCTATGGTTCTTTGATGTTTGGTTGGGGGGTCAACTATACAGCCATGTCATTTTTGTTTGGATTTAGAACATCACAAGACTTTGAACTCAAAGTGATCAAACAAAAACGGGTACTTGAGCTTCTTGAACTTACCGCTGACGTGGAAGCGGTCGCGATCTTCTGGCTGGACGCAGAACAAGAAGTGAGCACGTCGGAGCGATTCGCGTTGCGCAGCACGTTCTCGATCTCTTCGGCCTGGAATAAGGGGAACATCTGTTGACGGTCATCAGTATAGTAAAAGTGAATAAGGATACGCTTCTGCTTTACCAAAAGATTCTCCCCCTCCAAAAGATGCATATCTCGTTGCTTCCGCTCAAGGGAATTGGATCGGAATGTACGTACATCGGAGAGAATGAACAACTGGTGGGGAAAGATTGAATCGGATGAAGAAGAAGAAGAAGAAGAAGAAGGGCAATGGGTCAGTGATGAATGGGTTCGGAACCGAATTGAGCTAATTATAAGGTTGTTCTCGACGAGGAAAGACAAGAACTTTTCTCCAAAGTGCGAACATGCAACATCGTCACGCTCGTCTGGCACACGTCACGCAGGACAGTCAGCGCGAGGTGCGAATCCGGTGTTCGCACCTCTCAAGATGAAGATTCGAGGAGAAGGTAAGGGGTGCTATCATTACCGACCTGAAAGCGGGTTCGATAGTACCCAGATAAATCGCGGTCCATTTTGCGTCCAATCCGCGATTCACCTGTGATATAGTCTCGAGTATACACGTTTTTCTGCACATTTTTATAAAAGGCGCACATCGAAATTATTTAGCTTTTCTCATTCTGAAAAATTCCGAAAACTGGTGCTCATCTAGTCGAATAAGCTGTTCCCTTAAATACGTAAAACGACGAAACGCTCTAAGCGCGATAACAATCAGAAAACTTAGTTTAATTGAGGCGGCCACCGTGCCAGGGCGCGCCGCATCAGATAACGAAACAAGTGAGGAACACCAGTTGGAACAGTGCCAAACGGAGTGATGCAGTGTCGGTTTGGCGCCGCCGAAAGGCAGTGAGTGACAACTGACTCGGAAGGACTAAAAGTGCACTTGACAACTGGTCAGTTTGTGTCTGCACACTGACAACATGAATTTATATGCCCTTCGTTGATTTGAAGAACCATCTGGAAGCAGGTGCATCCACAGCTCATTTTTTGTGACGGTCTTGACGCGCACGAACAAATTGCCGAATTGCGGTTTGATGATCATGCGGGGGACAGATGGATGACATGCTTCATAAAACATTTTTGAATTATATTGTATGTACAAGACGGGCGCGGAAGAAGGTTGAGCAGAAGGTTGAGAGCCGAGGGTGCCGTGATTGTAAAGTTATAAAACGAGCATCCGGAATTAGGTTCTTCTCGTCATGATTTATGGGTGATTCTCACACAGAGATGGGGCGATTTATGGATGCGGAGTGGGTGGATTAGCACCGAAGGATCTGGGGTGACGATCTGAGGATCAAGAGAGCAATGGAAAACATAGAAAAGCTAGAGGAACAGAAAGTTCTACCTCAGCAAATACTTATTAGTGTGAAGATCATCACAATTCAAGATTCTCAAGTCATAAAGCTATGTCTGAAGCTGCAAAGATAGCTTTACTTTCGCTGAGATTCGTCAAGATCTTCCTAATGTTCGATCAGCTGTGAGGGACCGTCGATCGGGGCAGGGGCTGGCGCCCACTAATAATAAACCATGCCAGTTAGCGTCTCCGTTAGCACCGTCCATCTCCACTTTCGTGTTGGCTGTTGTGTGCCGCCAAGTCGGCGCCTAATAATCGCCGCCATTTCGATTCTGACACACACGCCAAAGGCTATGCAAAGGAGGTGGCGGACAGAGAAAAAGAACGGGAGAGGGCGCCAATTGTGTGATGAATGAAATGGAGAAAGGTGTGGAAAGGACTTGTTAACAGAACGGAAAAAGATCAAAAGGGGGAAAGGTCGGAGTGTTGAGATGAAAATGAGCATGCGATTGTTACAAACAAAGCAAACTGATCAGACTTGCATGGGACGAACGTTTTTTCTTTTAACGTAGTAGGGTTATGCCTTGCTAAGGATACCTAAGGATTAAGGTTAAGGGTAGCCGAGACTGGGAAATAATGTAAAGTTTCAGAGAGTTTGACTCGTTAGGAAATACTATTTGATGATCTTTAGGCCGTCCATTTAGACAACACCCCTTAGGCCCGTATTAATCCAAACTCTTCCCCAGATCTTATCAACGCATGAAACATTCCAAGTGACACATGTCAAAAGCGATTACCGTACCTTGCAGAAAAGTTCGAAAAGACGAAGTGAAGCGGAAATCAGTTGTGACGAAGATGCAACAAAAAATGGGTGTATTCGAAGAAGAGGACGATCGAAGAGGTGGTTAATTTCGAAACGAAAGGTCAATTCGATTGGAGAAATGAGACGAAACGGAGCGGAGAGTGGAAGTGGAAGGGGGGAACGGAGAGAGAAAGATGTTTTTTGTGGTTAAAGTGTGTCCGATGGGTCCCCGTCGGTTGACACGTGTTCCGACGCAGCAGATGAGGAAAAATGAGAAGCGGGGGGAGATTTACGAGTTGTTTTAGACGTTTGTTGGCTCGGATTACGGTGCGACTTGTTGTTGACCGAGAGACCAACAATACTTTGTTGTACCTATACTACTATTAGTCATGTACAGTAGTAGCCAAACAGTCAAAAGGGCACTACTCTCGGCGCCATGCCAATTTATGAAACCATGCGGAAGAGACATCGATGTCCTTGTCCCTCAATTTTTTGTTTCTGCTTGTTCCTCAGACCATTGGGCACCGTGGATTTACGAGCCGGAACCTGTGGCTTAAAAAAGTTGAATCGAATCGAATCCGTTAGTTGGTTGGTTCAAAAGTGCACCACAAATGAAATCGAAAACCGGTAGAATTAGAGAGGGGCGTTGTCTACGAAAAAGTCTTCCTCTGGTAAACCGTGTCGACGACAACATGCTGATTTTATCGCCCTTTTCTCTTCATTTCGCCCATTTTACGCGCTCTGTGGGTGGTCGAGGTTTGAAGAAGAAGAACCGAAAGATGGACCAGGAACATCAAAATCAACTCGTCGTAGTTAGCGTCAAACTGACAAGGACCAAATGAATTCTAGAACCCTAAAAGGCCAAACCAAAAACTGACCTCCTTCATGTTGTGGCAGTGGAAGACGTGGCATAGACGGCGGTAGGTCCTTCCGACGGGCTCCGTGGCCACGTAGCCGATGTTGGCCGTGTGGGGACGGGCGGTGACGTCGGTGATGCGACGGAGCGAGTGCGACATCAGGCTCGTCTGAAAATTGGAGGATTGGGGGGATTTCAATGGTAAAGAAGGAGTCAGAATTAAAAGAAATGTGGGATCAGACGCCCAAAAGGCCTACAAAACCTAAATAGACAATGAGGTCGAGACAGGCTAGAAGACTAAGAAAGTCTGTAAAGCCTGAAAAGGCCTAGAGCCCCAAAACCCCTAAAAGTCTAAAAAGACCTGAAGATCCTCAGAAGAAGCTGAAAGTCTCCAAACATTTTAATAGTCCTAAAAGGCCTTGAAGGCTGAGTACACCTATACATCCCAAAAAGGTCTGCAAAGCCAAAAGAAATCTAAAAACACAGAAAATCCCAATCCGATCCGATCCCAAAGTCAGTCAGACTCGGAAGTGCATCGGCAGCTGTATTAGTTACGGAACATCTGCCCGACGGAAAAGAATGAAGGAATCGGGCGAGGATAAATGCGATTTTTTGATTTGATATTATTGAATTGGGTCAGTCATTCAGAGACGCCCGGAGGTTTGAGGAAGAAAAAGCGGATGTGTCAATGATTGAGGAGGATGGGGATGGATGATAAATTGGCTTGTTTGGATTGGAATTTGAACTGACTACTATGCTAGAGCGCTAGAGGTTTGCTCGATTTTCAGTGAATATGCAACTGTTTTACTAGTTTTTGAACAATCTTTCAAGAGCTACAGTAGTCAAAGGAGCTACGGCGCAAAAAAGTTGTCAACTAGTAAAATGAAGTCTTCCGTATACATTCTCATCGATAAACTCCCACTTCCCACCCTTCATCATCCTTCTTTACCCTCCTCAATGACCCTAACCTTCCAGAAAACTTCCTTTCGCATCCCATCAACTTTTCCCCCATTTCCACAATTGCACTGCCTGTCCGAAGGCCTTCAGATGGGTGTCAGGAGATCTCATCTGGCGCGAAATCTGCCAATCCTTCGAGTCCTTGAAGGTATCAAATTTTGGAGAAAGCGAAGCACTTTGCGTCATAAATATGCGATTGCGCGGGGGGAATGGAACGAAATGAGGTGGTGGGGGGCACTCAATTAGCTAAAGATCACTCGAGAAGATTGGCCTCGTTCATTTGATATGCAAAAGAGATACTTGCTCTGAATTTCGGAGGGGAGGGCAATGGAATAGCAGGGGAGACACCTGATATTGTGCGTCCTTGGGTCTTTTTATGGACTCGTCGCGGTGTCTCTTAGAAGGCTTTTGCGGTCACGCCGCACACGCACACTAATCATAAACCTCGAACCACCTTTTACGGGCTTTTTATGCGATTTGTGTGGCGGTAGTACAAGGATAGAGGGGCGATGACAAATTGGATATATGCAACTGTCGGTTTGGTAACCGCTACTCGACCGATACTATATACAAATTTCCAGAAAGTACTGTACTCATGCAAGGCCACATAACTTCAGCTCTTTCCTGAATGTCTTTCCTTATAGAGAAGCGAATGGTGCCAAAAGAGAATATCCCCGGCTCGTCAATTACATAATCTCGTGAAAAATTCATGCTCGATCGCTCCCCCGCGGCCCAGCGGCAGGTGATCAAAGAACGTCTCTTGTCTCCTTTTTCCCTCTGTCACCGAGAGAAACAATGAACAAGGGGGATGACCGATAATCGGTTCCGAATGCACCATACGCAACACGTGTGTTCTTTTATTTCGCAACAGCCCCCGTCTCCAAATGAAGCGACCAGTTTTGACTGAATAATTGGTGCGGGTGGGCGAGGAGGGCGAATTTGAATATTGTGGAGCTCTCAGCAGGGAGCGCTCAAGGTGTGCATGTCGAATTTGCATACAAGAGCACTAAGCCTAACTTGAGGGGTTATGGTTATTCAAAGCGATGTATCTCAGCAGTAAGCAGAGATATCAAACCGTTGTCAACTAATAAATGCTAGTCAAGAGTTGAAGTACATTTTATCAGCTGACTACTTCTTGCTATCTCTACAAACAGCTGAGATACATCGCTTTGAACGGACGCTGTTTACGATAAAGAACAATCAATTTTAGGACCTTAAGAATGAGAGAACACTAACCTTCTCACACGTGATCCTGACTCCAAGCACCGAAATCGACAGTTCCACATTCTGCAACGTGGCGGCGCCCTGATAGTTGTCCACCCGATTTCCCAAATCGTTGATGTGCGAATTGGAGATCGGAAACGAGCCAACGTACTGCAAATTGTTTCATTTTCATATATTTCAAATCAGAACATGTTGTCGTGAGGCGGCATTGCTCTTGTTTCCATATTTGTGCAAGTACTCGACATACTTGCTACTTGTTCAAGTGGATCTCCCATGGAGACGAGCGTGAGGGGGACGGCAAAAGGTAAGAACGGGCCAATCGGTCACTTGACACTTTCGAACATGGGTGCTCAGATTAAGGGACGAAGAAGGGGTCCGGTTACTGTATTTGTACAGGCGTGTATGAATTGAGGGGGTCTTAGAGGAGCACAAAGCAATTACAATTAGGATGAGATTTTCAGTGGAAACAGGGAATAACGTTGAGGGTTCATATTTTTTGTACCATAATTAATAGAAGTACGCTCATTGAAATTGTGTCACTTCCAAGAGCTATTGCCGGTGAAGGAACAAATGTTGTCAGCTAGAGAAATAAAGTATTAAATGTCTAGGTTTCAACTTGTTCAAATTTCCGCTATTGTACACCAAAACAGCTTCCCATCCGGATACCGTTAACCCAAGGTGACCTGTCACACTCAAAACTGAACTCTTATCCTAGAGCGAGCCATAACTCTTCTCCATTTTCCTTTTACAACTCGGATCATCATTTCCGGACGCCCGTTGTAAACCGCCATTCGTCCCAACGGAGCAATTCAAAAAGACGGCCACGCATGTCCGCAACCCGATACTTTGATCAGCTGTGACTGTGCACGGACGATACAGTGTCGGTTAGGTGCGCCTTTGGCAACAGGTGTGAAGCCCGAAGCGGGCGTCTTCTTCTGTTATTATTTGAAAGTCAAAGAGGGGTGTCTAGACTGCCGGTGACCCCGAGAAACTGTGATCAATTTTGAAATATGTCATGTGTCTAACTTTCTTTCAAGGTGAAATGTTTCGGCCCTTATTTAACCAAATTCATCACTAAAGCCTGAGTGGCTCGACGCAGAATCAGATCGGAACGCCAAAAAATCTCTTGTACATGATTCTAAGGGTCTAAAAATCGTTCCGAAGGCTGTTTTTCAGCGCACTACCCTTCTAAAGCCCCACCCGACTGACCTGAACATTCCACGAGAGCGCAGGCGACGGCATGATGATGAGCGGGTCGTTTGGATCCTCGTAATCGCAGACGAAGCTCGACGAGTTGGCGGAAGTGTTCGAGAAACTCGTGGCCAGCAGGTCCGAGTAGAGGGTGCTGGACGACTCGTCGAGGTACTCTTCTTGGGGCGCCAAAGGGGCGTGGCTTGCGCGCGAGGGTCTCGGTTGGTAATGGAGAGCGGAGGAGAAGGAGGCCGGCGAGGAGGAAGACTGGGCGGGGCCTTCGTACTCACTGATCTCGTTGAGTTGGCATTCGGCCAGCGAGTGACGCAGTCTAAAAGGGATACTGTAATCAGTGGCACACTCGGTACCGTACCTCTTCTTCTCCTCTCTGCTCAGTCCGTTCAGATTGATCGTCGACGTCGTCGGAGCATTGTTGCCGTTCCGTTGGAAATGGTGGAGGAGTGACGACTTGAGACGACCGTACATTCTGCAAAATTTGTGAATTTAGAATAGCAGAAACTTTCTAAAAAGTGTGACGCTCACTTTTTCCATAGTCTACCGATGAAGGATTTCATTGTTTCAGATGGACTTTCAGAATGTCAGATTTCAGACGGAAAGTGTGAAGTGATATGATTTGTTTGGCTTGAATTGTGTGACAAAGAAAGGGGCGGAGCGTGAAACAAAACAAAAAGACAGAAACATGTTTCACGCCGAAAATCGAGCTCAAAGTGAGCAGAAACATTTTTTGTTTTGTTTCATTCCATTTTCTCGACGGGAAAGTGTGATGATAGAGCGGAGGGTGCAGACATAGAGACAGCTACCGTACTTTAAAGGCGCATACCGCTTTTTCGAGGAACTTCGGCGATTATTCCGCGACAATCGTCAACAAAAGCAAACTTCTACTAAAATTTCGCAATTTTTGTGAGAAAAGCGAAGAATCGTATGAAAAACATCGAAAAAGAAGAGAGCGAAAGCTAAACCCTCTATAATTTTCGCATCAATTACTTCTTTTCGACAGCGTCTAGACAATTGTCTTTGAATTCTCATACACTTTTTTGTTCTTGTTGTTTATGGTGTCAAAAGTCAGTTTTTTGTCAGAAAATTACGCTAAAAATCGCTCGTGCTTCCATTTTCTAATTTCCATTCAAATTTTCAAATGTTTCGTGTCGGTGCGAGTCGCAAGAATGTCTGTCCTTGAATGGCTTTCTGTCGGCTAAAACAAACATTTTTCTCTCTTTTTTCATCTTTCCGCCAATTATGCTATTCGACATCTTCAAAATATTCAAAAACTTGGAATTTCATCGTATAAACTGTCTGATGCGCTTGTTCAGTCGGCTGAAAAACGGTAAAACCGGTTCCGACTCGAGTTGGAAACATGCGGACGTGCGAGTCCTTTTGGTACCTTTTTTGTTTGCGCTCATGCTCTCAAAAAGGGATCATCACAAAAATGGAAAAAGGGCACTTTGCCAATTACGCAATTAGTGTGTCGCGCATTAACATTCGCAAGTTCCCATTCCCAATTTCTTTAGATTATCCCTCATTTGGCAACATTTGCACACATCTCATTCATTTTGGGGGTGTCATCTCTTTGTTTGCGTGGCTCAGTTGGAAACTGGGCGAGAGAGTGTGGTGGGGCGGGAGGGCGCAGACATTCGTGATTAGGTTCAGTCACTATGGATATGTTTATGTTCGGGGGGTGTCAATGTTGATGAACTGCTGCGTGGTTGGTACTGACACCCAAATAATGGGAAGAACTGTCAAAAAGAGAGGGGGTTTGAGGCTCAAGGGGTACACGCTTCTAGATTAGCTATAAGGGACTATAGGGCCTATTTTTGGTTGCAACGTGACACGTGGCATCTGGCTAGACATAGCTTGTTCCGAAAGAAGATTACTAATCAACACTGTAGGACGGTATTTTGACTAGGGAATAAAAAAATTAGGTAATGGTCTCAAGAAAAGTCGGTGTTTTTTTGGATCTAGAATTCGAGGAAAACGAATCTGAAATTGTAGCACTGAATCAGATTTGTTTTTCTTGAAGCACAGAGCAATTGGGCCAAAATCAGGGCTGTGCAATTGGCCGGCCCGGGCTTTTCGTTGGCCGATCATTGACCTGGACATTTTAACCACTTGCAATATTCCGATCGGACCAAAACTTTGCAGGCTTCTTGGACATGGGTTGAAGCATACTGGGACCAAGTTCCAGCCCGATCGGATCATCCGGTCCCGAGAAATGTGGATCATTGGCCGATTTTTTTCAAAAAGCCCGGGCTTCCGGCCAATTTCGGCCAATGATCCACATATCTCGGGACCTGATGATCCGATCGGGCTGAAACTTGGTCCCAATGGCCCTCAATCCAAGTCCAACAATCCTGCAAAGTTTGGGTCCGATCGGAATATTGCAAATGGCTCAAATGTCCAGGTCAATGGTCGGCCAACAAAAAGCCCTGGCCAAAATTGCTGTCTCAGATCATTGCCCAGCGTTAGGTAAGCCAACGGTCTAGTTTCAACAATTCAAACCCGCAAAAATGGTCAATTCTCAATTTGGCATTTCCGTCGAAACGTCACTCTAATTGCCACCTGTCTCCCTGTCCTTCTTCGACATTGCAACATTTCCGTAAACTCGCTCGGGGTACAATTACACCGTCACACTGATGGAGGTAATGAGTTGACCGGGGGCGGAGAATTGGTTTCATCGGGTGGATCACTTGAATTCTCACAAATTTCAACATTCTTCTCGTCTTCAAGGCATGATTTGCGTGGAATTAGTTAACTATAACTTATAGAATCTCTAAAAAAAATCTCAAAAAAAATCTTATAGTCCATAAGATTTTTAAAAAGTTACGACCCCCGTGCTCCAAGCCGAATGACTTTTCAAAACTTGCACGGAAACCCAATGCCAGTGGCTTCTCAAGCACTCTCAAATCACACCTCGCGAGATGACGTGGCACACAAACACTTGTCCGAGTACTCGGCCTCCCCCTCGTCCAATTGTTCTGGCCTGATCCCACTACACCTTTCCGTATTTGATCAGCGGAGTCTTCTGTGGAAGAAGTGTGGTGTCGTTGATACACTGTCACAAAGCTCGCTTGTGCAATCCGGATAGTATACATTACGTGGGTCGCGACATGGCGTAACACCGACGGTCAATAATCGGTATCCTTTTGCGGTGAGCCCGATTGGATTAGGAAGCGCTCCGACATGGATACGGTAGTTTAAAGGGACACGGAGACTCACCGATTTCTTCTTCTCGAATATTCTTCGTTCGCTTGTTTCGTTCGTTGGAAAACCGCGAAAAATCTGGAAAAAAAAGTGTGTGTGAGGGCAATTTCTGAGAAAACGAGAATAATGGAAGGAAAGTTTGTTTGTGTTCGGTTCGTTTCGTTCACTTTTACACACAAACAAACCCCAATCAAATCTAGTAAGGCTTCCGGCACAAAAAACGGTGATTTGGGCAAAGTAAAGAGAGGGGAAAGTGAATCAGAACTGGCTGGAAACAGGAAAGAAAGAAGAAGAAGAAGAAGAAGAAGAAAGGAATGGTTACCAGGGAAACGAAAAGATGATCAAAAGATGGAAATGCAAGGAGGATTGACGTCAATGAGGTGTGGAGAGTTCAAAAGAGACAATAATCCATAAGCTTCACACATCGCGCTGATAACATAATGCACCGGCTATTCAAGGCTATGTATCTCAGCTGTCTGTGGAGATATCAAAAAGTGGTCAACTGTGAAAATGTACAAAATTTCTTAACCAACAATGTATTAGTTGACAATATTTTGATATCTTTACCGTCAGACGAGATATAATTCTTTGAATAAACGACAGTCTTGGGGGTTCTTAATTTTGAACAGCTAAGGAAGCCAGTGGACCGACTAGCTGAACCTTGAATCTTACAATACTCAAGGATGACTAGAAGCTTCTAGAGTACATTAAGTTTCACGGATTTCCAACAGAACCGATTGACAGCATGCTTCAATCTACTACATTTTTTTGAAATTAGTTATGATTTTTCAAAGATCTCGATAAACTTTATCGTTTTGAACTTACAGAATTCAAAAATAAATAGTTAGGTGATAAAAGCAAACAGAGAGAGAGGGACAAAACGGAAGAGACAGGTGTCCGCGGGGTGTCTGACTGACGAATTCGATTCGGGACGGTATCAATCAAAGGAAAATGAGTCAGGTGTCTTGGAATTTTGGGGAGCGGACGAAGACGGATGAGTTGGGTTTAGTTAGGAAAAAGAGTTTGGAGCTTTAGGTACACGAGAGCCTTTAAGGTTTTCAAGGTGTTCATTAGGTAGCCGTGAAGATCTTTGAGAACTAACAAAATGGTTGTAGCAACTTTTGAGCTCGATTGTAAGAGCGCAAAGTTCTCAGGTATGTAGCACTGAACGGGTCAAGTGTACGGGGAACGGCTGAAGAAGACTGGTACGTGAGAATACCTTTCTTTGCGCTCTCTGATTCTACTCGTCCGCCAAAAGTGTTTGCTCAATCGAACCCTTTAATTATCCGTCTCCTCGCTAAAGTTCCGATCAGATGGAACACATCAAAAAAGAGCGGCACAATTTGATAGGCATGTAGGTTCTTAGTGATAATGGTTAGGGGTAAACATTTGGAAGAAGAAGGCAATGAATGAACCTGGTCGGTCTAGATTCGCTATTTAGATTCGGTGTCAATTATCGAATTAAAGGCATTTTTGGGCGGAAAACTGGTTCGGATCTTGGCACGAAAAGGCATGGAATAGAAAAGAGTACGGTGGAATTGTCTCAAAACCGCCAAACGATAACATTTGCAAGCCGTAAGTGTCAATAAAACTAAGATTGAAACAATTGGCTTTTTTCTCACTCTCTGCGTCTCTCGCCCCATCACACTCTCTCGTTTACACACTGAACGAGGAGCTTTGGGGCGAATCGAAGGAAAAAAGAGGAAAAAGTTGTGGGTGCCAATGAGATTGATATCAAACAGAAACTATCTCTCGCTTCTCTCTCACCTCTTTTCACTCTCCCGTTCGATTACTTATTTATCAATGCAGCACCAAACTGGTTGATTACCACTTTTTTCGAGTGATAAGCGACCTCATTCTGCATGGAATTTAGGTAAAAACAGGAAAAATCGAATTTGACCCCATGGGGGATTGAACTATTAGAAGCAAAACCCCTTCTAACAACAACCGGGTATTTTACCACCGCGCCACGCTCGCCACAATTTCGCCTCGCTCTCAGAACGGTGAGATTACCGGCGGAAGAGCGGACTCTCCTTGGGGTTTTCAGAATTAATATTTTTTCAGATGATGTTCTCTTCTTCAAACTTAACCAATCCTAGCCAAATTTCGTGGACATCTTCTCAAGACCTAGTAGAACTCTTTTTTTAAAAGTTTGATGCAGAAAAGTTCAAAGAAAAGTCTGTACCCCAATAATGGTTTAGGTTCGACAAAAAACGTAAAAAGTCGACGGAAACAAAGTGAAAGTGCACTCTGCCACTACTTTTTTGCGTTTTCCGTTTTCCCTCCATCTCATTTTTCATGTTTACAACCAGTCGTTGATCCGTCATCGCCACTACATAACGGCACACGACACAGATCATCATTTTTTTCTTGACAGCATGACGTTTTTTAGAGAAACAATGGGGAAGGGGGAGGAAAAGCGAGAAAAAGCGGGAGGGATGGGAGAAATTGTGGAAAAATTGGAAAAGCATGTGAAAATTGAATCAGATTTGCTCAAAAACTGAGAAACTGAAGCTTGAGCTTCGTCAGGGAAGGGTTTACAGAATACTTTTCATGCTGAGAATCACAGATTTTTTCAATTTTTCAGGTTTTCTGAAAGATTTTCAGCTTTTAACCTGCTCCTCGCGTTGCTTTATATGGTAGCGCAGGCAGTATAAATAAGGCCTGGCAGCCCCGTTCGGGTTATGCTGAATGGCTCAGTGGCAAGCCTTTTTGGCGCCAGCACCGGGTCGCAGGTTCGAAACCCAAGTAGTCAAAAATTGTTTTGCTCTCTTCGAAAAGCAACAATGTACGAGTAAAAGCGAAAGTGAGAACAGAAAAAGATACGAGCACAAAACTTTGTTATTTTCTTTCTCCTCCCCACTGGTCACTCAACTGATTTTTCTTTCGTTCCGTTGTAAACTATATGAATCTCGAGTCGTCGCGCCGCCAATTTTTTAATGGTTCCAAGGGCACTCAGGAAATTTATACGGAACGAGTTCAGGGGCAAAAGACAAGAGAAGGAGGGTGCTAAACGGCGCGCACTCAAAAAATGACCGAGAGAAAGAGAAAGAAAGAGAGAGAGAGAGAGAGAAAGAGTCAGGAAGCACTTAACGGAGGAGGAGAAGGAGAGATTGATGGGTGACTGACAAAGGGAAAAAGTTTGAGAGGAAGGGTTCCACTGGTTATGTTGACTGTATGTATACAACAAAACACTGACGAGTAGTTGAAGTTATCGGAGTATATCTCAGTTGCTAGTAGAGATATCAAAAAGTTGTCAACTGAAAAAATGTTTATTAAGATATTGTAGACATTTTTTTAGTTGACAGTTATTTGCTATCTCTATCGGCAACTGATATATATCGTCTTGAAGTGGGCTAGTGATAAACTCAACTTTCACTCCCAGTACCGTATTCAAAACAATATATCTGAGCTGCCAGTAGAGATATCTGAAAACTGTCAACTAATTAAATGTTTATTGACAAACTGTGAACATTTTTTTAGTTGATCACTTTTTGATATCTTAACCGGCAGCTGAGATACATAGCTTTGAAGAGACGGTACCGCTCTACGCTCTATAACGCTACTTGCTTCGTTTTAACTTTTACTGGTTAAATAAATTGAAAAATGGCTAGGCGGGAGTTGAAATTTTGACGAAAAACCAATTACACGATGCCAAACAAAAACGGAAGTACAGTACATACACACATACACATTCATAACTGCATTGAATCGAATTGAATAACAAACGATTGAATGAGAAGAATTGTGAATAACCGGGAGAGAGAGAGAGAGAAATGGTTCTCTCTCTCTCTCCTTCTTTCCTCTCCGTTTCACCTCAGCTTTACGTGTGTGTGTGCCAGTCTGTGTGCGTAGGTTCGTTTTTGGGAGGAAATGGGAGGAGGGGGTGAGATATTTTCTTGAGAAAACGAGAGAAAGAGAAGGTCGGAAGGTACTAGAAGGCAGGAGAAGGTACAGTAATCCTACAGTAGTCCTATCCTACAGTATGGCCTAGAAGTTCCAACTTTGCATCACTTTTGTAGCATGTGGTCAAATTTTTGCCATGGCAAACCTTACATCGACTTCAAAACACGGCAATACCAAAAAAAACACAGTTTTTAGGGAAAACTACAGTAAAACCGCAAAAATGGCCCTAAAAACTCGTTGACACCTTGGCCAGCACCGGCACCGGCACACATGTCCTCTTTTGTGTTCAGCGATATTATCGACTGATAAGGTTACGCAAATAGACGTCTTTTGGTCAGGGCACACTTCTTCAGACACGGAAAAGACGATTATTGTGTTGGGGAGAGCGTCAAGCTTCGGAATTGACGGACAGAACGACGGAAAATGGGTATGACGCAGTAGAGAACCCGTTGAAACAGCAGGGCGCTTTATAAACCAATGTATCTCAGTTGTCGGTGGAGATATCAAAAAGTTGTCAACTAAGAAAATGAAGAGTATGTTTAATGAACATTTTATCAGTTGACACTTTTTTGATATCTCCACCGGCAGCTGAGATATATCGTTTTGAATAAGCAGTCTTCAAACAGGGGACTAGAAATCGTGACTTATTCAATTTAGGCCTAATAAATGGGGAGTTGAAACTGAAAAATCGCAAAAATAGTTGTTCCTCTCAAATTAGGGAAAAGCGAGGCGAGAAATATCCGGTCGAATCGTTCGAATCAAGTGATAAGCGTCCTCCCTCCCGAAGCCGCCCTTTGTTTGGTTTGCCAAGTCGCCCGTCGCCGCCGCCGGCCACACACACACACACATTTTTGGATTTATGATAATCGAGATGGAAAATTGAAGGGGGGATCTCGTGAGAGATTGGAATGTTCTTCTTCTTCTTCTTCTTCTTCTTCTTCTTGTGCTTCTGGATGATGATGTCGATGAAAAACTGGAACTTTTTATGGCTAGCAAGCAGGCGGAAAATCCGCGGATTCTATGCATATGCGTGGGGGGCGTAATTACTTCGGGCGCACATATTTAACGGACAAAGCGGGGGAGATATTGAGGAAGAAGCGGACACGTCTTTCGATTATGTATAGAAATGGGGGAAATGAGCTCCAAGGGCAAATCTTTTCAACGATCACGCCCATACTTTGCAGACTTTTTGGACTTGGATTGAAGTAGCTTGCGTCCAAATTTCAGACCGATCGGATCATTTACTCTAGAGATAGGTCCAAGAAACGTACACCGTAAAGGTTTTGTTGTTCTACGAAGATCTACGATAATTTGGACTAATATTTGGAATCATATTTGGGTGGTTCACTGTAAACGTCTAGAAATACACAATATCAAGTTGGCTGATACGTTTCGCAACTGAAACTAGGACGGATTGCAACCGAGACCATCAAAAAACTATTCAACACCTTACAACTTGATTGAATCGAAGAAGAAGTTGGTAACTCGTTGGAAATAATGATACAATATTAGTTGTGGCCTGCAAAAGAAGTGGTTTTTGATCAACTTTCAACGCCAATTTGATAGCAATCTGGAAGCGAAAAAGTGTAACAAAAATAGCGGTACGAACACAGAGAATTTAGTACAGGAATTGGGTTGAAAAGTCAAATCGAGTAGGCGTGTGTGTGTGTGTGTATGTGTGGTTGATTTGATAATATTCGGAAAGAGAGAGAGAGAGATATCATCCGAATACTTTTCGTGATATTTCACAGCGGGAGACGCAGTTGAACGAAAGAGAGGACGATAAAAATATATCTCGCGTCGTGTCATCGCACCAATTGAGAACATTTCATTGAGAACGAACATTATAATTAAGGAAGATGGTGATGGATTACTGTACCTTTCGGGATTCCAATTACAACAGTGATAAATTAGACAATTAGCCCCGAGAAAATGGGCTGGAAGGCAAGATCCGGGTTTTTAAAGGTTTGTTCGAGTTTGGTGTCAATCGAATCATTGTCCCACTTCAAGACGCTATATCTCAGCTGGCTGTAGAGCTACTGAAAAATTGTTAACTAGTAAATTACTCACTAAAACATTCTGTACATTTTCACAGTTGATCACTTTTTGATATCTCCACCAGCAGCTGAGATATAACACATAACACAAAAGGTCTTTGGCAATCCGAACTCTTGGTCTGTTTCTCGCTGTGTGTTGCCATGCTCGGGCGTCGAATTGCCTAGCAATCAGTATGAATGAGTCTTCGTTTCCGCCGATTTTGCCTCCGAATTTCACTTCATTTCACTTCTTTCTCTTCATTTTGGCTCGGAAATCATGCGAATTGTGCTTCTACTCGTTGTGCTTTGCACTACCGCAATTTGTCAAGATACCGATGATTCTACGACGACTGAAGTACTGACTACGACAGAATTGAACTGTTACTGGTTGGATGACGCCTTCTATTATGGCTTTTTGCCGAGTTATTACTATGACGGGAAGTGTTGCAACTCCGAATCGATTGCATATTTGAACACACAGTACGGCAGTGAATGGACCTCTAATCCATCGGCTTCGGAAAAGAAAGACTACGCGACTCAACTCGAAGACAACGGATATTGTAACACTTCATCGACGTCTTCAACTGTTTCCACAACTACGTCCATGCTTACGACTACAGATTTGTCAACTTCATCTGAAAAAGAAACTACTATAATAGGTGAGCCCTCTTCAAGGCCGCTTTATTTGACTGCTCGAAGCAACAAGCCTAGAATATACTTTGCAAAATCATCAAGTTTCGCAGCGGAGGCACGTTGCCATGTTTCGAGATCGGGCTGCCTGGAGATTAGATTTAGGGAGCCCTGCTATCCGCAAAATTTGCTTTTCTATTCTATTTTTTCGCTACCACCCCAGAAATGCGTACTTTTCTTGCTGCTTATGGTACTGAGCACCCATTCTGCAACTGAAACATTAAACTGTTATTGGTTGAATCAAACGTTCACCTATACATCGGGAGTCAACGAGGGCCAGTGCTGTACTTTTGAGTCTGTCAGCTATATGAACAAGACATACGGGTCCGGCTGGATCAGTACCTTCTTGAACGGAGGATATGTGGATGAACTTGAGAGGAACGGTCTCTGCGCGGGTTCCACCACGATCACGGGTAATAGGATTGAGGATTTCTAGAATCATCTTCAACTTCAACCCCCACAACCACTTCTACAGATCTCACGACAACGGCTCTCGCGTGTGGAGCATTGGCGGACACGGATTGCTGTACTCAAAGTGTGACTTCCTGTCTGGACCAGGTGTCAAAGACCTGGCGAACTGTTCCGAGCACGAATGGATACGAATCTGTTCTTGAACAATGCGGATGCTTCTTGACAACGACGACAACTACGGGTGGGCGATAACCTGAATTGAAAACATGTGAATTCCGGGCCATCTGCAAAATCACGTGCGCGTATCCTTGGAAATCGGGGTATATCCGTTTTTTTAGTGCTTTGAATTGTGAATCATCTGAAACTGTAATAGAAGCAATATTGAATGTTCGAGACAGCATATCTCAATTGTTTGTAGAGATATCGAAAAGTGATCAACAGAAAGAATGTTCACAATTTGTCGATAAACAATTTATTAGTTGACAACTTTTTGATATCTCTACCGGCAGCTGAGATAAAACGTTTTGAATACCTGGTATTTTGGGTGGCAATGGATGATTGATGACTGCCAGCTCAAGAGAAACTCCTGAAAATGAAGCACTATCTGCAAAGGATCACTTTAGTGTTTATCAGTACAAATCTGAACAGTCTGTATCCAAAAACAGTATGTTGCGTCGAGAACGATACATTAATCTGCAAAGTGAAGTGTCCCAGAAAGTCTCTCACTCTCCTAGTCTCTCCGAAGCAAGAGTTCAGGAGTCCGGACGTCCAAAACACGACAAATCCCAACCAAGAACATAAACTCGTCACCGAAATGTCGGTTGCCTAGCGAAACCCATTGAAACAGTCCAACTGAAGTGCTGTACGGCTCCGGGCTCCGTCATTCTCTTCCTTTCTCGTGCCGACCACATGCCGCTCCTTCTCCTGCTTCTATTATTCTGGCGCTCAGTCGGTTACGTCGACTGTGCTGTCGATTGTTCCTGGTTATCCGAGACCGTGTCTGTGAGCGGAGTCCTTTATGAGGGACAATGCTGTACTCAAGAAGTTGTGGACTACATTGACGCTACGAGATCCGTTTTTTATTTTAACAATTGGAGATCAGCAACTATCTATTCTCAAGTTTTGAATCCGGTGTTCGACAAATTTGGAGTAAATTGTAAAAAATTGGCAACTTCAACGACCAAGAGGACAACTGTCAAGAGCACTTCTAGGACGACTCCGAGAAGAACCACGACCAAACGGACGACTCTCTCCACTTCCACATCTACCACAACCTCCCCAACAACCTCCTTTTCTACCCTCAAATGTGGTTGGCTCAGTCAGACTGACGATCAAGTTTACTCGAACGGAAACGGATTCTCGGTCACTTATTCTGGCGAATGTTGCAATTCGAAAACGATCGATTTTCTGGACAAATGGAACGTCAGCTGGATTTATGCGGTGGAAAGGGTGGATAGAGCGAACACACTTTTAGAGATTGAAATGAACGGAGTGTACGTGTGCACTTTACTCAACGGAACAGGTAACACACACACACAGTTCTGGTACTCCCAGAACCGTTTTTATTCATTCAGCCGCACAGTCGGATTGTTTGTGGCTCAGTGAGGACATTCCGTGCACGTCAGAACAATCTTACAATGGCGACAACGATTATTTCGGGCAGTACTGTACGGACATGTGGATGCTTTACTTGGATACAACACCGATTGGGTCTCTTAATGAATGGAGGCAGGCCACTACTGACGAGGAAAAGTGCCAGGTGGTGCTGATGGCTCAACGAGAAGAGCTTGAAGAGATGTCGGCGAACAACTGCTCCTGGCTTCATTGGACGCGAAATTTGACGGAACTTAATATCACTTATGGCGGCGACTGCTGTAATTACGAACGAGCAAGGGATCACATGGACGGAGTGAGCAGCAATTGGAGGAACGACACGGATTACGAGCAGCAGACCGAATGGATCGTTCAGTTGATCCGAATGGGACTCTGTCAAGGCTGGTTATCATCTTTTCCTTCCGAGTTCAAAAGTTTTACATCCAGTCTAGTCCATCTGGAGACTGAAGCACAAACTTTTCCCATTCTAAATTATGCGCAAGCATTAATCTTGCTCAAAGTAGAGCACTAAAGTCTGTTTTTTATTGCATACTTCACTTCTTCTCAAGAGATCTGAAATGTCATGCGCATCCCGTTTGTTCGTGATGTTTTGTTGGGGCGCCGTAAAAAGAACCATGGACCATCTCCATAGTTATGTTGCTATGAAGGCCGTTCGTGTTGAATTCACTTCACTTTCGCATTTTTCTTCAACGTTTGCATGAACTATGCAAGTGTTCCTAACTCTTCCCAACTTCCTAACATTTCTAATTACGATACGATTTGTACGCCCTCAACACCCCGATGATTATCGATCCTCGACAATGATTGCAGGTTTGTACAAGTTTATCAAATAACATCAATGAGTTTGTTGGCGATGTTTCTGACCGGGGCATCTCTGCCGTTTTTGGCGGCAACGTGCTTCTTACGTGCCCTATTCGTGCCCTACCCTTGCCGAAAATTTCCCGAGTTCTATGGGTCTAGATCTAGACGCTAGACATGTGCTAGCCATTGGCATAGTGACTCGAAATGTCTGGAAGGTCCGTCGTCTTGGATCCATTTCACATTTTCTCTCCTTCTTTCCTCGACTTTGCATCCGCGGCCGTTCACATCGCTTGCATTCAATAAAAATCCTCCTATAGACATACTGTTATCACTACAGAACATTCTGTTGCTAACCCGTCGTAATTCCTTGAGGAAATTTCGTGGCAAGCCACGTGTTGTTAGCGCAAACTAATCCGAAATGAGAAAAAACGTCGTATTGTGCGCGAAGATTCGGGACAAGTCAAACTGCGATAACAACCGGGTCCTTCGGCGTAGTTGAGAAGTAGAGGGTTTGCTGTAATCGATATACTACACGTATATAGGTTCCTTCCACAAACCTGAATAAACTGAGGTTATATGTGGACAATCACAATTGACGCAAGTTGAATATGCCTCAGCGAACATTAAAAGTAATAGTGCTAGGAGAAAAGCCATATCTGTTCAACGAAAAGTCTTTCATAAACTATTTTAATAGGAACAGGGAAATTTAAATAAATCAGTCTAATATGCAAATTGCGCTTTTGACAAACGGACAAAATTCAAATTAGTGATAGCATTTTTTCAGATGTTTCAACCACAACCGTTACTGAAACAACTACGCTTCAAAGTTCCACGGCTAACACTTTCGACTGTTTATGGCTGAAGAATATCACGGTGTACAGTGACGGAATTTACCCATCTCCCAACTTTGCATACAACGGATCCTGCTGCTCAGAAGCTGCTGTGAACGCTCTGAACAGTAGTAGCACGCTAAGCTGGACAGTGAACGGAATGTCAACAGTTAATGTGTGGAGTCAATGGCAGGCATTGTCAACCATCGTGTTCTGTGTCGAAGGAGCTTGTGATGACATTTTGTGGACAAACTGCACAGGTCCGTGTCTCAGCTAATCTCTCACGTACAAAGTTGTCAGTTTTTCAGCGACAACGACTTCAACCGTCACTTCGAGCTCGACCACTACAGACACCACGTCTTCAGTTTCTGCAAGCACTAAAGTCTCTGTGAACGATGAAGAAGGCCATGAAACTACAACGGATGATACGAGCACGCCTTCTGACTCCACAACGAGTGCGACTGAAACTAGTACGGAAAACGATCAGACTTCTACTGAAAGTACGCCAGAAGAACTGACGACGCAAACCGACAGCTCCGAAGAGACGAGCACCGAAGAATCAGAGACAACGACGACTTCCCTCCAATCCACTGGAACTACGGAAACGACGAACGAGCAGGAATCGAGCAGCAGTGAGAGCACGTCGCCAAGTACTGACGGCTCCAGCTCCACGTGGTACCAATCGGTTTCGTCGCTGCTAACCACCGTCGTGCCCACTTCTTTGTTTAGTTCTAGCACGGCCGAATCGATTCCACGGAGCAGTACGGAATCTTCAACGTCGTCGAGCACAAGTACGACGTCTGAATTGGAGACTACATCATCATCATCAACTGACGGGAACACTGAAACATCAGCTTCTTCTTCTGAATCAACGACGACGGACTCCAGTTCCTCGCAAACGAGTGACATTGGCTCTTCGGCGCCATCCACTTCGGGAGTGACGTCGTCTTCATTGGAATCTTCTTCTGTGATGAGTTCGGTGACAACGACAAATGGCTCTACTCTTTCTTCCTCGCCCACAAGTGATACTCCGTCTTCTGTCTCTACTGTGAGTGCCACTGATAGCCAAGCGTCTGAAGCAACGTCTGTGCCTTCCTCTTCCTCCACATCCTCGGCTGTTCAGTCCACTGCCACCGAAGAATTGACCATCAGTTCGTCAACTTCCTCTGGATCATCGAGCACCGGAGCACAATCAGGATCTTCTGGCACAACGTCTTCAAGCCCGACAGCTTCAACCACCACTGCGACAGAGGCATCGAGCACTTTGAATACTGGCACGTCTACAAGCCCAACAGCATCCACGGCTTCATCCAAATCATCTGGAGCAACTGCAGCTACGTCTACAGCGTCTGAATCTGCTAGCACTTCAAAATCCGGAACTTCTACAAGCCCAACTTCATCCCAGACGTCTACTAATGACGCAACGGCATCTGAATCTTCGAGCACTCTGAAAACTGGAACGTCTACAAGCCCAACAGCATCTGCGGCTTCATCCAAATCTTCCGATGCAACTGCAACGATGCCTACGACATCTGGATCTTCAAGCACTTCTGAAACCGAGACATCTACAAGCGCGACAGCATCTGCGGCTTCATCCACGACGTCTACTAAAGGCTCTACGTCTACAGAATCTGGATCTTCAAGCTCTTCAAAAACTGGAACGTCTTCAAGCCGAACATCATTCACTTTAACATCTACTAATAGCGCCACGGCATCAGGATCTACGAGTTCTTCAAAAACCGGCACGTCTACAAGCCCGACAACTTCTGCGACAGGAACTCGGACGACGACATTCGAAACGAGCACGCACACTTCCGGTGATTCCATAATTTCATCCTTACCTCTTCTCCATATAACATCCGATCTTCAGCTCCGACCAGCGGAACCACTACAGATGCAAATGGAGTATACGTAAGTTCTGTCGAGTGTTCTCGTTTTGGTCCCTCCGTGATTGTGCTCCTTCCCCTCAGTTTTCCCATCCTAACCGGTTCAGTTCCGCAACTCGACCGTCCAACTTTTCGAGAATTGCACGCAGAAAACTGTCGAACTTACGTTTTACGTCAATGGTACCGTACTTCGGAATACGACTATTGACACGAATGCATGCGTGAGTTATCCTTCCGTTTTTATTTCCCTAAACCCCATTTTTATTTGGTACTTGGGTTGGTTTCCATTTGTGATAGATAGTGGCTACTTGCCGTACTTTCAGACCTCAACGACTTCTGGCACGACTTCTGAAATGACCACTACTTTCAATTGGCCAACCGGTGGGACCACTAGAATCCTGGCATCCGGTGATATTGTAGGTTCAATGGTATGTTGGTCAATGTTTTCAGCTTCCAGATCCTCTCCGAATCGTTGACAGCCTATCAGAATTGCACGACGGTCCTTCTCCAATTGATCTATTCCCCGTCGACGAACACGACACGCATAGAGACCACGAGTGATGCAGAAGGATGTGTAAGTGTATCGGGAGCTTTTGAGGAAAGAATAATGAGCTTTCAGAAGGCTACCACCGCTTCAACTGGCGGTTCCACAACCACACCAATGCCCGGAACCGGCAGCACTGTCGAGTCCACCGCCACGACCACGTTTCCCTGGCCAACCGGCGGGACCACACGAGTACTAGCGTCTGGGACATTGTGAGCATTCTTTGATACATCCTGCTACTGAATATTTTCAATTTCAGATCCTTTCCGAATCACTGATCGCGTACACAAACTGCACAACGGTCCTGCTCCAGCTCATCTACACACCTTCCACGAACACCACTCGGACCGATGTGACCACGGATCCTGAGGGATGTGTACGTTATGGACTATGGTTCATCTATTACACGAGATTTTGTTTCAGAAAGCAACTTCGACGTCTGCTGCCCAGACCACAAACTCCGTCACAACTGCCGTTCCATTCTCGTTTCCGGAGAGCAAAACGACGCGAATCCTTGCGTCTGGAGAGATTGTGAGTAGAGGAAGCGCATATATAATGATTATGTTTGTCTCAGATCCTATCCGAGTCCCTGGTAGCCTACACAAATTGTACTACAGTGCTCTATCAGTTGGTGTTCAATCCGACCACCAACGAGACCCGGACTGATGTGACGTCCGATGCGGAAGGATGTGTAAGTCTAGGGATTTATTGAAATCTTTCATTTTTGTTTTCAGAAGGCCACGACGAGTACACAAAGTTCGACTGGAACGGCAAGCACAACCCGAACAACTGGGAGCACCAATATGTCGTCGGCTTCTGTCTCTTCCACGAGCTCAGGCCCGGTTCAATGCGCGCGTCCGACCATTGACACCAACAACACGGTGCGTCCGACAGACGAGGAGTACAGTACGGATTACTACGATGTCGGCGAGACGATCACTCATTTGTGCAAGCGATATTACGTGATGGAGTACGCGAAACAACCATTGAGGATCTATAGATGCAAAGACGATGGCACCTGGTCTGGTGTGTTCCAAAGTTGCATACGTGAGTGATTTGGAAGCGGTTCTGTTAGTCGGGTAGGAAAATGTTTTCAGAAACTCGATCGGAACTCTAACGGATCTCGACTTCTATGATGACAATGACAATGATACCGACGATGATGCTGTCAATAGATAACTGTGATAATAAATTGTTGTGTCCAACATTGTTCAAGACTTAGTATCCTTCTAAAACTCTTCTGATCTTTGAAATTCTATCTCTCAACAAGTAAACAACTTCCAATTGGCTTGCTTATTTATGTACAAATCTGCAACATTTTCTCGGAAAAGCCGTAGCTGATTGGATTAGTTAAGGAATGCGGAAATGAGCCGGAGGATTATGAGTAATGTACGGATCCCCTGGGGACCGCTTTCCTCTCTCTCTTTCTTTCTTTCTTTCGAGTAGAGTTACGCACAATTAAGTTTTCCACTTGCTTTTTCCATCGAGTTTGTGGAGCTGAGCAAAGAACGTACATCTGTAAATGCATTATTCAGGATCAAATTTGCAGCTTCTTGCATTAATTCAATGATTTTTGACCAGTGAACCCATCTGTAGAACAAGGAAAGATGTCTCACTTAACTAGGGAATGGTTCGCCCATAAGTCGGACAGGATCTACATGGTTGGAAGGTATCTAGGGCAGAAACGAAGGACAATTTTCCCATCCTGAGAGTAAGATATCTTCGGAATCATGTAGAACACGTTCCGAAAGACCAACTAACCATCCCTAGTGAGTATTTCACTAACTTTAGAGACTGTCAATTGGTTGACTCTTTCTGAAACTGTTCGTTCTCATTTCTCTGCAATTCTGAAGCTCTCAACTCCAAAGTTCAGACTAGTTTAGATTCAGATCAAAGTCGAAGACGGCGAAATTGTGCAGTTCCAATGAGATGACTTCCAATTGTGGGAACTTTTTGTTGTTTGCAACCGCGAACACCCGTCTTCCAATTGGTTCATCGAATTGAGGACGGTGAGGGGTCTGAAAAACCAGTTTGAGGAAAATTGGCTTTAAATTTTCAAGTTTAGTACAATTTCAGCTCCACTCTTCTGATTTATCACATATCTAACTCGTCATATAGAAAACAGAGTTTCCGGGGGCAGAATTTCCCTTCCAGCTACATCTGGACTTCATTTCCGTTGCGTTTTCCGTTTAGAATCACTCGCAAACTACTTTTTTCGATGATCATCCGCTTTAACAACTTTCACGATGATAACTCGATTAATGTCTTCCTAACTAGACTCTAGATCTGCTCATTGACCGGTCATTTGACTACATATTGTACAGTTATCAATGATTTTCAATTATGAGAACCAGGAACTAATGGAAATCTGCTCCCGAACAACAATGATATTGTAGTTGGAAAGGGTTTCGACGATCAGGGACCGTAATGAATCTGAAAGGATATGGCCTGAATAAATCATGCTCGATACATAGAAAACCAAACTATATAATTCAAAGTTTGGTCCCCGGAGTTGGTGTCCAAGATTAATCGAGTCAGGGGACCGAAAAGTGATCTATGAGCCGGAAAGATTTACGAAATCGCCTCTCTGATTCTAATTCTGACGCTCAAGTTGGTTCTGATCCTTGGAAATCCCAATTCAAATCTCAAATCAAATCTCAAACTTCTCTTCAATTCCAATTGTTCTTTGGCGCCTATGGTATTATGAATTTCAATTTTTCGGCCGATTTGCATATTGTAGTTCCCTTCGAAACACGAAATTCTAGTCGGAAATGTACATGAAAAAAGTTGGGGGATCTTTGAAAACACAAAGCATTCTAGACCGATAATATTTGAAAAAGAAAACCGGAAACGACTAGGGAAATGAAAGCTCTGGGCACCAGTTTCAGATGGGTTCAATACTCAAAAAAAAGTGTTTCTCGAGAGCAACCTACACATTCTCAAACTAGACATTATTCTCAAAGGAGCAGAAAATGAAATCACTTTCGATTGACGTGATATCTTCAAAAGTATGCTCTTTTAAACGTTGATCCGTTAAATATTTTCGTACTTTTCATTTCCCAGTCAAACTGTCCTAACGTCACATTTTTTCAAAAACTTACATTCTCTCACAGATCCATCAGCCGTCGGGATCCATCACTTGCACAATCCAAGTCCTACATCGTTCTGTAATGAGAGAACTGCTCCATTGCCTGCTTTTTTTGGGAACTGAGCAGAACTGTTTAAGATTAAGATAAACAATTATGTTCCAAAGATCGTTCGTTTTTCTTTGGAACATAATTATTCCAAAGATCGTTCGTTTTTACATTAGACCATAGCGTATCAGTGTCTCTTTGGAGATCCGGGGATTTCAGGCACTCCGAGAGTATTTGAACACTTCGAAAGATTACTACATCTATCGGGCGCTACCTTCTTTCTTCCTATTTCTCTTCCAATCGATGTCTTCCTCTTCCAGTCCTTCTCCGTCTCCCTCCTTGTTCCTTTGTCGAATGCTCCTTGATCTCCTGAATACATTCTTCTCGATATGATCCCATCATTTTTATTCACCTTCCCATCCGATGGACATTGTCGAAACTGAATTCAAGCTAACCGGGAAGCTTTTTTTTCTGAAAAACAGATAAATCTTTGAAATTTGGTTTCGAAGTGAAATTTTTGTAAAGCAGAGTGATCACTGACTGTAGAAATGAAAGCGAACCCGAAGGGACCTATTGTTTTTGTACAATTCGCTCACAGACGTTTCTAGGGAATTCTGCTCAGAATCCTTCCAGTTCTCACCGAGACTATACGAATCCTAGACACTATTCAAAGAAAACAAGGTATCTGCTAGAATTAGAATAGCTCTCGATCTACCTTTCCTCGTATGCACAGCGTGCCACTGGGGGATTACGTAACCGAGTGAGCAGATGGGCAGAGTATCGATTGATTGCGCGCGTGAACGGACCATTGTGTGCATTTACACACGCTCCAGTCGGTCCTTGTAGACCTGTCTGAGCGGGTTTTGACCAACTATCCTCCAAACGTTTTTTGCCCCGCGTTCATTATCTTCGCCGCCGGATCTTTTTCTTTTCGCTCGAAAGTCTGAGCGATCAAAGAATCTTCTATTCGCCAAACTTCCACTTTTTCTTTTTCTTCCAACTGTTTTTGGTCCAAGCTTAAATGAGGTCTGTCACTAAAACATGAGCTACTTATACCATTGGATAGAGCGCCAAGTTAGATCAGGTACATCATTTTCTCCTTCGCCTTCTCGTTGCCATAACTCAAGAGTGACACATTTTTGAATAAAATGATCAACTACAAAGTTGTAAAGCATAAAATTTGCTACAACTTTTCAGTTGACCACTTTTTGAAATAATTTTTAGATCTTGAGATATAAGCGTCGAAAGATAAGATGTTTGTGATTCTAGTGGGAAAATTGATGTAACTTTTAGCGCTTTATTCATTGGTATAAATAGCTTGAACACTTCTTTTCTCGTCCGCCCGCAAACTTTGTGTTGTGGGTCGTCGCTCCAAAAGTGTGTTAGTGTCTCGAGAATCAATGAGTGCCTGCCGCCTCTCGCGCAATTCCCGCACTCTAGGTTGTTGCCGTTTTTGCGCGAATCTCTACGTCCGTCTCCCTCTCTCTCTTCTTCTCTCTCTCTCTCTCTCGTGAGTAGTTTTTCGTTGTGTGTGCGTCTGAGGAGGAGAAGGAGGAGAAGGAGAAGGAGAAGCGATGAGACGCAGACGGTCAGCCGATCCGCTTCGTCCTCCTGCCTCTTTTTTTTGTGTTCTTGCTGCTGCTTCTGCCTTCCTTTGCGATGCTTGCTTTTTGTACGCCTCCAAAATGTTGTGTCTGCCTATAATTTAGGGATGCGCACCGCGATTGATGGGTTGCCGGAGGACACTGGCCGCCCAGATTGAGTGTGGGAAAATGTGTCTCTCCGGAATAATGCGAGGGCGTTTAGTCACACAGAGATTAGAACGGATAAGGTGATAAGCGGATTGATGATCAACGTGGCCGTGTTGTCGGATTCTAGGCCATGATCATCAACAGATAATAAGAGAAGATTGTAAAATTTGCCATTTCTGATCATCTCTGGTCGTGTGTAAATGATAACCTCCAAGTGATAACAGACCGTCTTCTCCTTCTTCTTCTTCTTCTTCTTCTTCCCTTCTTCTAGTTCTGGGGGGGGGGGTACTAATTGTTTTCCCACACTACTCGTACAATTGGGACTATTTTGATGGCTAAACTTTGACAAACATTCACAAAGTTCTCGTGATCTTTGAAACAGTGTGACTAGGCTCTAGTCTTCGAATTCTACAGTATTCTTCGTACTTTACAACTGATGGCCTAACTTTTCCACTTTCTGAAATCTAGGCCCTGATAGCTCTATCAGTTCACATGTACTCGGCTTTTACTACACTGTACAGAAATGTGCTTGCAATTTTTGATTCTCCTGACCCTACAGTGTCTAAAACTGTGTTGTCTCTTCAAAAGTCGATCTATTTACGCAACTTGATCAAAGTTATCAGTGGAGCGCGGTCACATTCCCTTCTTAGACACACATGTGGTCAAATGTAGTTTTTGTTATCAGTGGAGCATCTTTGCACACTCTCTTATCACCCGATTTCTTGGAATCTCGATTCATTTTCCCCTTCTATGCTCAAACTGAGTTGGATAATGAAAAAGAGGAAGAGGAAGGGGAAGAGGGAACCGGGAAAAACAGAGGGGGGCGGGCTCCTCCAAAGAGGCACCAACAACGTGATGCACCATGTGATGATCGTTGCGAGTTTGTGTCACTGGACACTTTTTCCGTGTGAGCCGCACGCCAAAAGTTGTGCTCCAAACTGACCCCAACAAATTTCGCAATCATTTTGTTAATCTTTGGTAAACGAACACGCACGATAAGCATGCTTGAGAGTTGGTTTCGAAATCTACCGTAACCCCGGCTGTCTTCCTTTTTCATCCTATTAGCTCTCGTCCCGAGGGAGTCAGTCAAAGAGAGCTCGGTTTTTTTTTGCATTTTCCATTCCAAAACACCTGAGACTCCATTCTTTTGCAAAATCAAAATCCTCACTCTACATGCGTTTTTCCGTTTCTCAAATGTTCGGAGAGTTCAGATGACAAAGTTCAGCTTCAATTCGATCGAATTCAAAAGAAGAAAAACCACGCAATGTTTCTGTTGTTGTTGCCCGCAAATTTCACTTTTTAATTGCGTTTTTGAGACGTTCTTTGGGGGGCTGGATTCTTGAGGAGGTACAGTAATCCTGAGGGGTACTGTAGTTCAACTACAGTATCTACTACAGTAGCTCACAATGGTTAGGCTTTTGGTTGCTAATTTTGAACTTGTGAATCACTGTTTCTTTGTTTAAAAGTAGAAAGTTCCTCATTAGAACGGAGAAGAAGGATACGATAGTTCCATTTGTGTGCAAACACCGTCACGCCTATTTTTGTACCGCCCCGCTCTGCCTACCGTAATCCTGACCAGTTCTATGCGTACACAGTCACGCCAAGTTGCGTACGTACCGTAATCCATATGACCCGTTTACGAACGTTTTGTGTACTGCTGGTTTGGGGCGCTAAAAGATGATAGAAAGTATCTCTCCTTCTCGCCGATCTTCTACTTTTTCTACATATATAAATTCAGAAGAGGGATAGTCGGCGTCCCGCTTCTTCTTCTTCTTCTTCTTCTTCTTCCTTTTCCTTTTTCTTCTTCCCCTCTTTGCCCATCTACGTCTCTTTTCTCTCTTATCATCCCTTCTTCTTCTTCTTCTTTTTCTTCTTCTTCTCCCCCTTCCCCAACTTTTTACTGACATACCCACACACACACAAACATTTCGGTTTCGATTTCGATTGACGCCCACGCACACGGGGGAACTTTTGATCTTTTTCCGGTACGGTTGATAAGAAATTCATCGTTTTTCGTTGAAAACTTTGTCATTGATATTGTTGGATTCTATCAAAACAGTTTTTGACCATTTTCATCGCTTCCATCATCATTTCCTGTCCTTCAAAGTCACTTTTTTTTTAAATCTTTAATCGTCTTTTCGCCCCTTTTCAGTCATTTTATTTGCAGCTCTCTCTCTCTCTCTCACTCTCGCGCCCATCCCATCGAATTCATTTTTGATGGTGCTCGTGGTGTTCGGATGACTCGTTTGCGCCGTTCGTTTTGAGCCCCCCCTCTTGCGAGCCCATGCACAAAAGTAACAAGAAGCAGCAGAAGCAGCAGCTGAAGATGGCGCAGAAGAATAAACAAGTGCAGCACGAGATGAGCAATGATGTGAGTGCGAATCAGTTGTCGTTCATTAATGACAATGTATCTCATTTGTCTGTGAAGGTACCAAAAAGTTTCCAACTAAACAAATGTACAAAATGTTTCAATAAGCATTTCATTAGTTGACAACTTTTTGATATCTCCACCCGCAGCTGAGATACATAATCTTGAATCAACAGTAGTTGGCAGCTAGGGTGGACAGCATAGTACCGTTTATTCAAGACGTTGTATCTCAGCTACCGCTAAAGATATCAAAAAGTAGTCAACTAATGAAATAATCATTAAGAAATTATGTACATTTTATTAGTTGACAACTTTTTGTTATCTCTAATAGCAGCTGAAATACATAGTTTTGAATAGACGTGGTTTTCTGAGTAGGGATGATCCTGTGAAGAACGGCCAACTCTGCTTAAATGAGAAGTACTAGAGTTCTGAGAATCGTGCTCACTTTCTAAATCAGACGGATAGTACTGTGGCATAGTTACTTGGTCCCCAAGTGTGCGGAAGAGGTCGATTCCAGTGCAACTCCAGCAGTTTGTCTAATGCATTCTTGCATCCTTGTTTCACGACACGCCACTCGATTCAAGATATATTAAATGTCTTCCGAAAGTGACAGCAGCAGGGACTCTTCACCGGAGAGACTACTCTGTTTTTTTTGTTGTTGTTTCACTAGCCCACTTTTTACCACCAGAGTATGGATAATGTTTGAGCTGTCTGACCTACTCGAATGGTTTTTATACCACATTCCATTTGTAAGAAAGGTACGGTAGTTCTTTTCGAAAATCTTTGTGAAAACTGAAGTTTGGTTTGTACACTTATACCAGGTACAGATTAGCGCAAGCTGGGATTATGCAAAACAGCGAGTCGCAATCAAATTCAAACTTCAACTTTTTTTTTTGCAGGTATGTCCCCTTCCACTTCCGCCACGTGGAGCCCCGCCCCCGGCAGTGTATCACGCGAGCCGAATGGCGGCCGCCACGTCATCCGCCAGCGGCTCTTTCGAAAAGATTGCGACGCCCGGCAACGCGCGCAAGCTGCACGTCGTCATTGTGATCGATCAGAAGGTGCAGAAGAATCTGAGGGTACGCGAGATGGCGCTGAAGGATGTGCAGAAGGTGGCCGACACGTTGAACGTCAATCTGACGGTAGGGATCGTGGTGCGACAATAGATCGCCGCATCGTGCAAGTTTTCAGCGAATCGACTTTGACAAGTTGGACTTTGGCGAGACGGAAACGCTCGATCTGTTCTACAACGCCGACGTGGCACTCGTGGACGTGACGGTGACCCATCAGCAGCCGAGTCTCTGCTACCACATTGGCGTGCGCGAAAGCATGGGCCAATCCTACAACATGATCCTCTCCTACCAGGCGCCCGACCTCGAGTACCACATTATCGACGCGCTGAAGAAGACGCACGCGCACCTTCCGATGATCGTCTACCGCACGATTCCCGACTCGAACGTGCTGTGCATTCTCGAGAAGACCGCTTCGGAGGACGACGCGAAGCCGCCGTTCGCGCGCTCGAACGGAGGCGGCAACCGGATCAGCTTCCAGCATCGGATGAAGCAAGTGCTGAAGAGTGTGCAGGTGGAGGCGTCGGCGCACTCTCGCGAGAAGTTCATGTCGGATTTGCGGAAGGCGCGCGAGATCACCGACGGCGATCAGAAGAACGATTATCTGGACAAGATGCGGACACGGCTCGACAACCCGGACGTGCTGCACCCGGATACCGTATCTTTGATGATGCTCTCGTACAGAGACAATCAGAACTACGGGGGAATGATTCGGTTGGTGGACGATCTGAAGAGGATTCCGGATTGTTTGAAGGTCGTCGACACGCCCGTCATTCGGTACCAGTATGCGTTTGCTCTGAATCGGTAGGTCTTTAAGGGTTAGCCGAACAAACTTGGATTGGTCTCACTATTTACAGACGGAACAAAAACGGAGATCGTGATTTGGCGCTGAATACGGTGCTGAGTTTGGTGGAGGGAACGACGGAGAACGAGGAGAAGAATGGGCCACTCAGTCCGGACGTTGTTTGTCTCGCAGGTTTGTATCTCTGGAGCCGATGGTTATTTTGAAATGTTGTCAACTGGAAAAGTGTTCCAAATATTATGCGGAACAACTTTGCAATTGACCATTTCATTCGAAAATTGATCATTCTCAAGTTACACGCCCGTTTCAGGCCGAATCTACAAAGACAAGTTCATTGCGAGCAACTACGAGGACCGTGAATCCCTGAACTCGGCCATTGAATGGTATCGCAAAGCCTTTGAAATGTCGCCTCTCGAATATTCTGGCATCAATCTGACGACTCTTTTGCGCGCGAGCGGAGAGCACTTTGAGAACAACGCCGAGATGCAGCAGATCGCCGTCGTGCTCAATTCGTTGCTCGGCCGCAAAGGCGCTCTTCAGAATCTGACCGAGTACTGGGACGTGGCCACCTACTTTGAGGTTTCCGTGCTGGCCGAGAACTATCAGAAGGCGTGCGAGGCGGCGTTGATGATGGTCAAGTTGAAGCCGCCCGTGTGGTATTTGAAGTCGACGATGGAGAACATCAAGCTGATCAATCGGTGCGCGGCGACGATCAGTCCGATCGAGAAGGAGAAGCAGCAGTTTCTGTTCTGGAGCGAGTTCTTCATGGAGGCCACCGAGGCCGATACGGACATCAACTGTCCGCGCTACCCGGTGCTCATTCTCGAGCTGAACAAAGAGTTCACACCCTCCTATCTGACGTTGAACAACGAGGAGGGCACTGTCATTTTGAGCCATGTCCTCGAGAATAGTCAACAGAAGAAGATCCATCAGTCGGAGCTGAAGGGCATCCATCGGTGGCACTTTGCGAGGAATAACATCAAGGCGGTGACCGAGTCGAAGCGCGACGATCGGCAGCTCTTTCTGTACGTTCACGAGAACTCGGACGACTTCAATTTGCTCTTTCCGACCAAGGCGCATTGTAAAAAGTGAGAAAAGCAGTGTGCGACGCCTAGTAATCGCAATTTTCAGAGCGTTCGATGACATGAAGTCGATGGCGGACGTGGCGGACGGGAACTATCAGGGAAAGGTGCTGAGCAACTCGGACAACGAGAAGATCCGCTTCGAGTATGAGCTGAGCAACTCGAACGATCGAGTTGTGCTCGGAAAGGGAACCTACGGAACCGTGTACTCTGCCCGGGACATGGACACCCAGCGGCAGATTGTCGTGAAGGAGATCGAGGTGAAGTACGACGAGGAAGTGCAGCCGTTGATGGAGGAGATCAGTCTGCACTCGACGCTCAGCCACCAGAACATTGTGCAGTATCTGGGATGCGATTTGGTCGGCAAAGAGGGCGCCAACGATCATTTCCTCATCTTCATGGAACATGTGCCCGGCGGCTCTCTGAGCTCTCTGCTCCGATCGAAATGGGGACCGCTGAATGAGCCGGCGATGGTGTTGTACGGCAAGCAGATTCTGGAGGGACTCAAGTACCTGCACGAGCAGAAGATTGTGCACCGAGACATCAAAGGAGACAACGTGCTCGTGAACACCTACTCGGGCGTCTGCAAGATTTCCGATTTCGGAACGTGTAAGCGGCTCGCCGGGCTGAATCCGGTGACGGAGACGTTCACCGGAACCCTCCAGTACATGGCTCCCGAAGTGATCGACCACGGACAGCGAGGGTACGGAGCACCCGCCGACATCTGGTCTTCGGGTGCACGATGGTCGAGATGGCCACGGGAAGACCGCCGTTTGTGGAGATGCAGAACCCGCAGGCGGCCATGTTCCGCGTCGGAATGTTAAAACGCATCCGCCGATTCCGACGGAGATCACCGACAAGTGCAGGAGCTTCATCAAGAGCTGTTTTCTGCCGGAGGCTAACGACCGACCGTCGGCCAAGGATTTGCTGCAGGATCCGTTCATTCAGCAGTTCCACCACTCGTGAGTTGGCCTTCTTTCTTTATTTTCCACAACAGTTACCAAGAGATATCGAAAAGTTGCCAACTGATAAAATGTACAACATTTTTTAGAAAGCATTTCATTAGTTGAACACTTTTTGATATCTTAACAGACAGTCATCTTGAATCAACAGTAGAAAATCTCAGTACGGTTGCTTCCAGAAGCTGTATCTCATCTGTCTGTTAATATATCAAAAAGCTGTCAACTTATAAAATGCTCTCTAAGAAAAGATGTACATTTTATCAATTGAAAACTTTTTAATATCTCCAATGGCAGCTAAAATACATCGTCTTGAATAGACGGTAAGCTATCGTGCTCTACTGCTAAGAGATCCCAATTCCTTTCTTTCCTCTCTTATTCCTCTCTCAATTCCAGTATTTCAAGAACCCGCAGCGGATCGATCAACAAAAAGCCGGCAACAAAAATTGAAAAAGTGGAGCGAGAGAAGAAGGAGAAGACGAAGAATCAGAGGGAGATGCTGCGTTCGACGTCGCACATCGGAGGCATGGGCGTGATCGAGAGGTCCCCGCCGACGCCGGAGCCCACGTCGGCCACTTTGACCGCCGGATTCTCGCACGCGCACAGCCAGACGGTCTCGAACGCGTTGTCGACGGCCCGGGAGGAGAAGAAGCTGCATCTGAAGATCGACCACGCACGGAATCGGACGTTCAGCTCGTCGAGTCCGGTCCCGGATGGACAGTCTTCTGCGGGAACGAACATCTCTCATCCGGGCTTCCATCTGAGCCAGCCGTCGAGTCCGATCGTCGACGACATTTCGCAACCGCACCTCATCGTTTCGCCCATCTCGCTGGCCACTCTGGGCTCGCCGCTCAGCTCGGCCGCCCTTTTGAATCGAACAATATCCGACGAGAGCGCGAACAGTTCAAGTCGGTTCTTTATGCTCCAAAAGGACTCGGAGAGACGGCGATCGTTGGGACAGTTCATGCAGGACTACAAGGATCAAATTCTGGACGCTTGGAGCACGCTACTCATCAAACAAAGCGACACGGAGCTCGTGGTGACTGTGCACATGCTCGAGATGCTTTTGGACGGAATGCGCGACTTTTTGCTGAAGAAGGACACTGTGCACATTCAGAAGGTGATCGACGACATCCGAGGCCTTTTGGACTACGATTCGGCGAAGATCGCACAGATCAACCTGGCCCTGTACCACTTTTCCGACACGATCCAGCCGGTACTCCGTCGGCTCGACATCAAGCCGCACTGGATGTTCGCCCTCTCCAACCTGATCAACTCGGCTGTCCAGTGTGCTCTCTCGATCCTCAGCCCCGATCTCTCCCTTCTCCTCCACGCCCAGGACAACCTTCCCTCCACTTCTTCGATCGCCGCCATTCGCAATTCCTCGCTTTCCGAGGGCGAAGTGCTCGTGGATAGTCGGCCGCCTAGCCGTGAGGAGCGGGTGCGCGAGGAGCGGAGGGAACTGCGGACGCTTCAGGAGGAGAACGAGGCGCTCATCGAGCGGCTTCTGCAGGTGGAGCGGGAACTGAACGCGCAGCTCAAGTCAGGGCTCACTCGGGCCAACCGCTTCCGCGACTTTGCCATGTACCGTAACACGTACCCTCCGTTCCGCGCCCCGCCCGTCCACGCTCCGCCCACGCCTCCGTTCAGTGCGTCGTGCGGAGCCCAGCCGTCCGGCTCGTTTCAAGGCGCCAACAATGCGCCGCCGAGCTTTGCGAGTGCCAAATCGACGGCGCAGAAGATCATAATGCCGCCGGGAGTGGAGAATAACTACCAGGTGACGAGGACGCAGGAGGAGCTCGTCGCGTGGCTCCGAGGCCTGGACATTGACGAGCGATCGATTGCGTTGATCGCTTCCGAGGCCTATTCCAAGAACGATCTCATCGATTTTGTCACCCGGGACGAGCTGCTCAGCATCGGTGTCGGGTGAGTTCAACAAAAAAGTACTTGAAACGCGTAGAAATTCGTGGAACCTTGAACTTTTTGATGAATTTGATGAACGTGCATTTCAAATAATTCGCATTTTGCAGGGCGGCTCGTCGTGCCGGATAATGCGGGCGATCGGAGAAGTACGCGAACGTCAACGCCGTCAGCCGGTGTTTCTGTCTCCGATGCGAAGTCGCGACGATTCCCTCGACGACTACCATTCGAGCAGTGCGGACGACATGTTCACGGTGGCCGAGGCCTCCTCCTGAATCTCATTTTTATATTTTCCCCCCTCAATTCTTTCCTATCGTAGTACTTAATTGAGCAAGTGCAAAGAAGCCATCATGTTTTCGTGTACAACCTTTCCAAACTCATTCAGTTCGTTTTCCGTTCCAAAACTCTTCTTCCCTATTCGTGTAGCCTTTTCATTCGTCTCGAAACGAAACCAAACAAACTTCTAGTGTCTTTCCCCATCTTTCTCTCCAAAAACGCCGTCGTCTTCTGAGATTCTAATGTACATCATCCAAGTCCCCTTAAAAAATCATCATCATAATGAAATCAGAGTGTGTTGTGTTTCAAGTATACATTCGAACAAAATAAATAATTTAATTATTATTATTATTATTGTCACTCTCCGAGCACTTCCACATCGTCCTCCGCCACCCACAAGTAAATCATTTGACCGGCGGCCGTCAACAATCTTTCTTTTTTCGGGTGCGCCGAAAGTGAGTGCACGACACGGGATGGGTGCTCCAGTTTGGTCACTATGTTCGAGTCGAGAAGGCTGGAAAAGGAGATTATTTTTATTTCGGTCTTCTTCTTAAACGCTTGTAAATTGCAATAATCCAAACTTTAAAGACTTGGATTAAATTATCTCGGGATCTAAGACGCTACAACGGAATAGAACTTGAATGGAAAAGAACCGTTACGAAATAGAAACGTAACGACTCTGGCGATTCGTTATTAACCTAATCGTAGTCCGCCTATAGGCCATACGGCGACCTAGCTAGACTTATGTCCTGGAATATGAAGTTCTATTTCGACCAGTTATTTAACGTTCAAGTTATATTACGTTCTAGCGCCTGTTTCAGAGTGACCAGACTATCCGATCGGCCTGAAACTTGGTCCCAAGATACTTCAATTCTAAGAACTCAAAGTTTGGGTCCGATCAGAAAATAGCAGAAGTCTAGGCCCAGCAAGTACATACTTATAAATGTAAACGTGTCCGTCTTCCGATCCGCTTGCCACGTGTTCAATCGACTGGAGCACTCTACACTCGAGCTTGTACTCCGTGTTCTGATGTCCTCTATAGCTCGCCAGCAGTTTTCCGCTCGTCTTGTCCATCAACCGCACCGTTCCGCCCATCGCTCCGGCCAGGATGCAGTTGCCGTCGGGCGTGAAGCTCACCGAGTTCACCGAGTCGCCCATGTAGTCTATTGTCATCTGAAATTCCGGATTCTCAGTGTTTCTCTTAACTTCATGTGCGTACATTTCCATCTCGGACACTGTAAACGCGATAGTTTCCGTCGGCGCTTCCGGCCACGATTTCATGTCCGTTCACATCGATCGAAATGACTCCGTCGGTCGCCTCATTGAATATTTGGATGGGCTTTTCGCTGCGCGACCTGCAGTCGAACGCCTGCATTGTGCAGTCCATTGAGCCCGAAAATACGACAGAGGACTCTTCGTTGAAGGCCACCGCGTTCACTTGAGCTGCAAATATTCGTTTTACAAAAACATCTCGTACTTTCCAGAGTATATACCTCCGTGCGTGCGCCACCGTCTCAATTGTTTGCCCGTTTCCACGTCGAATACGGTACACGCGCGGTCGGCTCCGCCGGCCGCAATCTGTGCATTATCTGAAGAGGAGGCGGCGTCGAGCACTTCGTTTCCCGTGCCAGAATAGGTCTTCAGAAGACTGCTTTTCAGCGGATTCCACAATTTGATCGTTTTGTCGCTGCCGCACGTCACACAGTAATTGCCGTCCACTGAAAAATGGATCATTTTGATTATGCTCGCTTCAAATTGTTCAGTACCGTTGAATCGTACCGCCCGCACGGCTCCCTGCTTACAATCGATCGCTTTCGCGCGAATTGTCGGGTGTTTTGTCATTTTTATCACTGGGAAATGAATGGTGTCGTAAATTTACAGAAGATTGAGATAGGTAAAGGCTGGAGAAACCTTTGATCTTAAAATTTTTTAGAGAAAATAGTGCAAAATTAACCGGAATTTATTAGCCATTCAATCGGGACGTTGAGAAGAAAGATCATCACATTTAGGGTCAAAATATTAAAAAATCGAAATAGCAAACTACTAATATTATTGTTCCCGCTTGCTCGCCCGCAGCCGTCTCGCTTCTTCTTCTTTCTGTTCGGTGAGTGGGCGAGGCTGAACTTCGATGTATTCAAAGTACACACCCTGAAATATTTGATCTCTTACTTTTCCATTTGAGAGAGATTTACCCTAGATTGGGCGAGGTTCAAAAAGTCGCGATTGGCAGTCACGGTGACCGTTTTCGTGTAATCGCCCATTGTAAATACTCTCTGCAAAAAAGTATCCAATGTTATCAAATTTTTCTCTTTTTTTACATTGGCCATATCCGAGAGATGCTTGGATCCCTTCAGCAGCGCGACCTTCGGAGACGGTTCTTCTGGATCCTCAATCAAATGAATCTTGGGCCGGAGCTCTGCGAATCGCTGTTTTTCGGTCGGTCCGCCCACGGTTCCCACTATCTTCTCGAATTGTTCGAACGCTGCTGCACTCATAATCATACGGAGATCTGGAAATCAAAAATGGGATCTACTGGTTGGTATCCTATCGACTTTACCTTTCACCGCTTCAAGCAACTCCGGCTTCGACGGTTTCTTGTGCTCATGAGCCGCATGCGTCGAAATCATCGTATTTCCGAAGTCAAAGATCTCAGGATCGGCACCTCCGGGCTCGCAAAGATTCGAGACAAGAACCATGACCGCATTCACGTCCATATTAATCGACGGAACCGACATTTTCCGATAGCGAGGGGTGGTTTCCGAAGAGGACGGCCTGCAAGGGAAAGTAGACAAGAGGGTGAGAAGGGAGAGCGCGAGCGCGCATGTCTTCGCTCTGCGATTTCCGGCAGCCGACACTGCTCAGTCGGTTCACAGGCAAACCGGCGTGGGTAAAATCAGGCCCACCGACGGGTCGGCGGGAGTGAGTTTGGTACATCTTTCGGCATGAGCGTTTAGTTGCCACTCCGAGCAATCCGAAACGACTACCTTTGAATCTATTAAGCAGCGGAGAGCCGTAGTCAAAAAAAACCTGACAGATTCGAAAGGAATTCAGCGCTTCAACGCAGTCGATATTCATAGTCGGGCATTCGGCAGGATTTCAAGCGAAAAACTTGGATGGACTGCGAAGTTCCAGAAGAGGAATCGGATTCTTCTTTGATTTGGTTACACTTGATCATTCACAACATTTTCGTGCACTTGTACAACAATCAGAAACTCAGAAAATATATAATCATCACAATACTTTTGTAACCTCAGCCCGCTGCGCAACGTCACAGGTTCGACCCCTGCTGGCGGCAAATCTTTTCTTTTTTCGCTTCCTCACCTGCTCTCGTCTTCTTCCCAATCCGAGTGCTCCGCGAGTTTGTTCAGCACAGTTTCGTCCCACTTCCCGGCCAATTCCTCTTTCGGCAATCGTCTTCCGATCACTTCAATTCCGTGTCGATCCAGTTTTTCGGCGATTTCCTTCATTACTCCGTCCTTGAATATCACCTGGATCAGCGGGTTGTTGAAGTTCTTCGCCACGTGGCTAAATTGTCGCATTTGCATCAGAAGATTTCCGTTCTTTTTTCCGTCCCGATACTCGACAAGTACTCTGGACGCCGAGCGGTTCACCACTTTGATCTGAAATTCGAAAATGACGATAAACACCTCACAATCCTTTGTTCTTACCCAGGTCTCCGGCGATTTCTTGACAATATCCACTACAATATCCGTTTTTCGGCCGCTTTTCGTTGTGCGCGAGAACGGTTTCAAAACGGACTTGACCGTCCCTGCCGGCGCCGTCTCGATCTCCTCCATGACCGCTTTGTAGAAGGTGAAATTGCAGGCGGCCAGTTTCGAGTCGAGCGATTCCACCGGGATCTGAAATCGAGTTGAAGAACAACGGAAAAGGCTGTCAGGCTGAACCTGGCGGACAAAATGTACAATAAAATCAGATAATGGGTTATTTTTTCATAATGTCCTTTTAAGATTGTTGAAATTTGTAACTATTTACTAAATTCGATGGAATATGCGAAAATCCATGATTTCCGCCTAAACTTTTCGCGAATTACTGATAAATCCGCCAAGAACCGTTCAAATCCTACCTGCTGGAGCATCGTGAGTTCCTGCCTCAACACTTTTTCCATTTTCGCCTTATTCTCCACTTTTCCGAACTTTGCATCCTCCTTCAATTTCTCTATTGCTTCCGTCAACTCGCCGATTTTCGTCCTCCGCTCTTCCTCTTTCTCTTCTTGAGTCTTCACCTTTCTTGTCATTTCTCTGAAATTCTGGGAATTGGAGCAAACGTTCAAGAGTTTCAAAAATTAGACAGAAAAAACAAAGATAATTGGGAAACAGATGACCCCGGTCGAGAAATGAAGTGAAACTCTCAAAGAATGACCGTTTCTTTTATTTCAAGTGAGTATCGGCGAGAGATTTACCCAACATTTGGTTCGAAACCGTTTGAAAACCTGGAGATGAGTACAGTGAGTGAGAAAATGATATAAACAGATTGTACAATCAGAGGGCGTATCGAAAGAAATCTCCACGATCAGGTGCGATCCGCTGCTGGAAAGAATGACGGCATGTGCGGAAGCAGTCAATGCAGGCGAGGGAGCTGAAAGTGTCAAATTCTAACCTTCTTGATTTTAAGACTTTTTCACTTGGAATCCAGTTAGGGCTACCTACTCGGACCCTAACTTGGCAGGATTATCAGTCTTGACCTTGAGTATCCAGCTCGAAAACTTCAGATCGATCGAATTATCTACTCCGGACCTTATAGCAAAAATCACTATAACTCCAGATCCAACAACACAATTGGACGAGCACAAGAGTCGGAAATGTTCAGATTGCCTGGATTGTCCTTGAGGGACAGCAATCTGGACATTTCCGACTTTATGTTTGTTTGCAAACAGTTCAATTCCATAACCATGTCATTCGAATTTTTAATTTTCTAAAACTCACTAAACACGAATATCGCGATTGAAGAGGTCGGAGGAGGAGACGACATCTCTTGTGCTAACGACGTGTGTATGCGCGTACCGCATCAGCCTCAGTTCGCTACAGTAAGAGCACCGTTCGACGGCCGTCACGCACACCTCCTCAGTGAGCATTTCGTCGAGTTGGATGCGGACGTGCATCGGGAAGTACTCCCCGAACACTTGCCATTTGTCCTCTCTGCCAAGAAAAAAGTGAAATTTTGGGTCAACTGGAAGTTCGGATACTTGTGAAGAGCGTGGGCGGCGAGTGTCTGAAGAGTGTCGACTCCGCCGCGCGTGTACTTGCTCCCGTCGACTTTTCGGTTCAGAGCGAACGTCTCGGCGACGACTCGATGGTCGGGCCTGCAATAGAAGCAACGATTTGAAACGGAAAGAACATTTCGATTACAGTAGCACCATCGGATTGTTGGCCAATCCGAAAAATCTGACAGTTCTCATGTGTCTGAAGATCATCGGGACCGAGGGCAGTTCGTTGTCGCTGACATCGAACACGGAGACATGTCGGAAGCGGCCGACGAGCGTCGGGCAGTAGCGGATTCGGTTGCACGACAGGTTTAGAGTTCTGATGTTTATGAGGTGAAAGATCGGAGGGAACATCTGTAAGAAATAATAATTTCCGAACAAATATTTCTTTTAAGATACAGTCAAGTTGTTGCCAGTGAGATCGAGTGAAGTGAGTGAATCCGGCAAACTCTGGAACATTTTGCAGACTTCTTTGTCTAGGCGTCGGAATTCGGGTCCTGCAACGACAAGTTCATTGGGATATAGATTCTAGCCCCATCTAACCTGCTGGTGCCAATTCACAATAGGTCAATTCCAGCCATCCCAAATGTTTCAGCTTCCCGAACACCTCCAAGTTCTTTTTGAGTCTTCCGATCGGATTTCCGCTCAGGATGAGTCTCGTCAGGTTGCGACATCTGGCCCATTTCGGATCCGGCATCCGCATATCGATCGGTTCGATTTTGAGCGATTGGGTCATGTCCGAGAAGTCCGACTGTTTCTTCGAGTACTCCTCACGGGCCGTCACGTGTATCGTCTTCGGTTTGAAGTCCGCCGATCTTACTTTGCTCACCTTCTCGAGCTCCACGTCGGCTCCCGAATCGATCTGCTCGCGAATATTCAGAAGTTGCTTCAAGGACGCGGGGTCCGCCTGAAATTGAGCCGTTTTTTGAGGCCATTCTCTAAACTTATGACCCAGTTGCAGAATTCCAATCGAGCCCGTATTTCAAGTATTTTGGGTTCAAAGTTCAGAAAGATCGGACCGTCTGGCCCCGAGAGATGTTTAGACCGAAGAAAACCTGAAAAATGGACCCAAGACCTGCAAAACTGGGTCAAAAGTTCAGTTTTTCTAGTACCCCGCTGATCATCACTTCAACTGTCGGCTCCGAAAATTTGATCGTCATTTTTCCTTGGTTGATGAGCGGACAAAGGACGTCTCTGATATCCGTAAACTGCAATAACGTTCAAACTTTAAAATTTTCCTAAATTTATCTCAGAAAACCTCGAATCGATTACTCGTTTTGTCTGTTTTCAATGCGAACGTTATGCGATAAACAGACTGAAAAATTTTAAATTTAGATTCAACAAAGACCTTTTTAAACCTCGCCGTCCTTCTGAACTTTATCGACCACCAGTTTCGCGTCTTGAATTCTCGTTAGAATTTCTCTAGGTCTCGGACCGACGCCCATCTTTTTAATGATTATTTTACACGGAATTAACATATCTGCAATCGCAATATTGACAAAAAAAGTGGACAAAGTCATGAAATAGCAGGGGAAAATCGGACCTGATTGCCAGAAAATATCAATTATTTTTACTTTTATTCCCAAAGCAGATAAAATATCTATAACTCGGTAACCATTTTTCGTGTTAGGACAGGGGGAAAGGAGGGAAATAAATTAACATTTCTCGCATTGTTAAATATAAATATCACAAGTGACAGAAAAGTGATCGGTGAATGAATCAACGGGGAAGAAAATGGAAAAACACTTGAAAACAACCCTAAAGACGTCTATTTTTGAATCAATAAAATAAATATATTACTAGATATTTAAAGTTTTGAGAAGAGAAAGAAAAAGGGGGGAAATTATGCACATTTTCAAAGCTCCTGTAGGTCTCCGATACATTGTGTACAGTGAAGTTGTCCGGGCGGAAGTGGTTGGGGTCTCTGCAAAAACTTGATTGCGATGAAAAAACAACAAAAAAAACCCACCGAAATGTCCGAGATAATCTCGAGAATACGACGAACGGAGGCGTCCTCGACCGTTTCTGCAGGTTCCGGAGTCTTCCTTTCCTCTTCTTTTTCCTCGTTTTCCTCTTTTTCTCCGTGAACCTTCTCCCTTTCCGGTATGTCTTGCAGCTTCGCATCGACCACAACCACATCCTCGTCTCCGCTCAATTCGTCGACTGTCGAGTGGCTGTAACTGCGCGAGACTCGGCGAGCCGCCTTTCGGGCCAGCGAGTTCGTTTCGTACTCCTTCAGCACGCCGCCCTTGTTGAGCACAGTCATCAGCACGTTCTGCAGCTCCTGGCATCGCGCCACTGTCCGTGTTCTCTCCTCCTCCATCGACTTCAATTGTTCGTCCTTCACTCGCAATCGCTCGCGCACCAACTTTCTCTGATGCTGGTAGAGCACCACGTGGTCGGCGATTGTGTCATTCTCGAGCTCCAGTTGTTGATTGATGTGCTCCAGTCGATCGATCGTTTCGACAAGTTCTGCGTTCTGCATCATCGCCCGTGCAAATCTCTTCTCGAGCTCTTTCCGAGCCCACAGATCTTCATGAAGCTCCCTGGCTGGCTGTGAAGTTTGTAGGGGCTCCGGCTCCTTCTCTTCCTCATTCTCCGCTTTCCTCTCCTCTCGCTCCTCCTCTAATTGCTGTCGAATCTCGTTGAGCGCCTCCCGCAACTGCTCATTTTCGGCCGCCAACTCCTGAACTCGTCCAACCGCTTGCGTCAGCTCTACATGAATCGAATTCTGATTCTCGTCCTCCGCATTCTGCCGCATTATCTCGTCCATCTGTTCGTTGTGCGTGTTACTCCTTCTCAAATCTGCACGAACTTGTTGCAGTTCACGCGTTTTCAGCTCCAAATCAGCACGGATTTCCGTGTTTTCACGCTGAAGATTCTCGAAAGCCTCTTTCACGTCTTCTTCTTCTGGCTCCAGATGCGGCTGGCTGGCGATCACTTCGGAGAGGTTGGTGACAAGTCCGGCGGCTTCCAGATTCAGTTGTTTCGTGAGCTCTTTCACTTGATGCTCAGCCGATTGTCTGGCGAGTTCCACAGCCGCCTTTTCTTCCGTTAACGTCACAAATCGATCCTCGGTCTCCAGAAGTCGCTCCTTGAGTTCTTTGTTCTGAGCAACCGCCCGAGATACCGTCGCTTTCTCATTTTGTAGTTGCTCCGAAAGCGACAAAAGATCAGCTCCGTTGGCGGTGGATTCAAGGGTTCGTTCCTCTAACAGCCGATACTTCATCTCCAACTCGGCCAGTGCTTGCTCTTTTTCGAAAATCACTTTATCCCTTTCCAAGTTCTCCTCGTCCCGATTCCTCTGCTCTTCTTCCAACTTTCGTTCCCACCTTCCTCTCTCCACGTGGCATGCTTCTCGAACTCGTCGCGCCACGTCTTCTTCGGTGATTGCCGGGACGTCTTCTGGATATTCCACTGGATTCTGATGCTTTTGGAGATCGGCGTTGGCAATTTGAAGTTGATGCTCGAGCTGTTGGACTCTGTCATCCGAAGAGTAACGATGGTGTTGAAGTTGTTCGAGTTCCTGAGCCATTTCTGCTTGTTTCTGCTGGAGAGCATGCTCACGATCCGAGTAATGGGCTTTCAACGAGGCCGCTTCGGTCAGGAGTCGTGATTTCTCGGCTTTGAGCTCCTGGAGTTCTTGTTTCAGGTCTTCTTGCTGCTCCGGCGCCTCCGCTTGTTGTCCTGGAGCTCTTAACTGCTTCAGATAGAGATCTTTCATCTGAATCTCTTTTTTCAACTGCTCGCATCGAGTCTCTTGCGCCGACGTCTCTTTGATCAAACTCTTCACTCTCGCTTGCGCTTCACTTCTCTCGTGTTGCACATTCAACAGGTTCGCCTGAACGGCGGCCACTTCCCGTCGCATACTCTCCAATTCTTGATGGCGGGCGGTCAAAAGCGAATCTTTTTGGGTGATTGCCTCCGTGAGCTTTCGAAGTTCCACCGAATCACCGCCCGATGACTTGGATTTGTGAGAAACATCTTCTGGAGCTGGAGTTGAGGCTATTTTGAGCCGGAGACCTTCGATTTGCTCATTTGCCCGACGCAAATCGCTTTGGCACGCCAGTTTTTCTTCGACCATCGTTGCCAGGGCCTGAATTCAAAACAAAGGTTGATTTTCAAAATGTTTTAATCATGAATTCTCACCGCCTGCAGCTGAACAATCTGATTTTCAGCGTCGACGTGCACTCCGTTCGCGTTAACTTGAGAGTATGCCGAATGGAGTTGAGCATAGTGAGAGCACTGAAATTTTACCGTTTTCTAGGTTCACTTGTACTCAAAATGACTCACCAGCTCGTCGTGTTGGGTCTTCAACTGCGAATACGCCTGGTACCACTCATTTCCGTTCGGTTGAAAGGGAGAAGCCTAAAAACAAAGTATTTTTGTTAATTTCCACGAAAATAACTTACAGTGACACCGTTTCGGACACTTTGCGACGATGAATGTGGAATTTGAAGACCCAAATCCGTGGTTTTCGACGTCGAATCCTCGCTGACCACACTGCTCCGCCCGTTGAGGCCTGCTCCGGCGCCTGGCTCCGACGAGATGATGCTTGAGGCCGGAGAAGCACACCCGTCGACTCGCTGACGAGCTTCGAAGTCTCTGAGCTGAACAATTTTAATTTAACTTATTTTCTTTGTTTTTCCCCGATTCCTCACCTTTTTCCTGGCGGCCGCCAGCATTTCAGACTTGCCGGCATCAACCATTGCCAAGATTTTCCTGGTTTTGGCTGGAAACCGGCAGAAATATCGATTTTTCAGCTGTAAACCGGGCTGCGACGTGGAAAATGCGAAACCTCTGCTGGCGGTACGCAAGCGCCGCACCCGACGCGCAAGTGCAGAGGGAGCAGAGCCACTTTGTGGAGGCCATGCCAAAACAGCGGAATTCACGAAAACCGCGGATGCCAAAACCGCGGAAGCCAAAACCGCGGAAAAAAATGCCAAAACCGCGGAACCGTGCAGGCGCAATACTTGACGCGCATTTAAAGACTTGCGTTTATTGAATAGAAGAGATTGAAATTGAATAGCATAAAACAAAGTAATGAAATTCGAAAATTCTGAAAAAAATTTGAAAAGGAGAGTTATATTTAAAATTATTTTGACAGATATAATCAGCATCTTTCTATTGTCTGGAATTCCACGGCGAATGTGTGGTCCTGAATAGAAAAAGCTCGTGGTGCCTGCCGGGTTTTCACATTTAGTTGGGACTTGCAGAATAATTTTTGTTTTATCTTTTTTTTACGGTCTCCAGAGGAGGCTACCCCAAGCCAGAAGTGTCTCGAATCAACACGACTTTTCGTAACAAAAACCAAATGCAGATAGATTCTGATTTAGGACGGTTCCGATTCAAACAGTTCTGGCTAGGGGTAGCCACCTCAAGAGCTGACAATATAGGCGTGGCTTCCGCCAAGTATTTCGTTTTTTCGCCTTCCCCGCCGCCTAAAAACCACGCTCCTTATATTGCGCATTCTTGACCGTTTTCACATAAAATTGGTTTTGAGAATGATAAATCGCATAAATACATCTTGAACGATCGAACAGCAAAAATTACATGAGAACAACTGAAATTCACGCATTTTTGGGCGGAAACTTTAAAGGGATTAATCTCAATCGACCAAACGAACAGATGATGATTTATTTTTACCCAAAACTGCTGTTTTTTCTTTACTACTGCCTTTTTTTTATACGTCCCAATAAATGTTTAAAGTTACTTTCTGCAAATAATCATGTTTGATGCTATTCAATTTCAATCCCTTCTATTCAATAAACGCAAAAGTCTTTAAATGCGCGTCAAGTATTGCGCCTGCACGGTTCCGCGGTTTTGGCATTTTTTTCCGCGGTTTTGGCTTCCGCGGTTTTGGCATCCGCGGTTTTCGTGAATTCCGCTGTTTTGGCATGGCCTCACTTTGTGAGCTCACGCGTCAGGCAGGTTCAAATTGATTGTGATAAAAATTATCGAATTTCAGGAAAAGAGTTAAGTTTATTTACAAATTCTAAGCTACAATTCTGAGCTAAAAAATCTAAAACGCAGGCGGTTTGTGATCTGACGACACGGGCCGTCCGGTTGGTGTTTGTGAAGCCACGAGAGCGGTTCGCGTGTGAATGTGCGGAAGGCTTCTGGAAAAAAAACACAATTTTATTGAAGAAATAGCACGCAGAATACGTACTAGCCCATTTGGAATCCGGATTGATCTCGTCCTGGAAGTAGGCGTACGAGAAGATCAGCATGCCGACGCCGAAAGCGATTAGAGAGTTCTGGAATTAATATATATCATGTTCAGCCTAAAATCGTTCTAAAATGTGCTAACTTCTCTGAACGAGAGTCTCTTTCCGCCACGTGGCAGCTGATTCTCAGTGATCTCCTTCCACTCGGCCTGTCCGTCTTTTCCGCGCACCAGCACCCGAAGAAATCGTGTCAATCGCATATCGACCGATTTGAAAGTCTGAAAATCTAAATTTCTTGTTCTTCACTTGATTCCGTAAATTCAATCCCTCGAAGAGAAAGCGGAAACGGAGCCAAAAGTCAGCGAGTGGTCATGTAATTCGATATGTCCAAAATAGGGAGAAAGCTCAAGAAAAGGGCAATCGGACCCGCGGCCGGATTCGCAATTGGAGCTCACAGAGCAAGCGGAAAGAGGGAAGCGGTCAGTTGTGTTTTGATTGTAGCAGTTTGATAAATTTTGAAACAGAGAACTGCAAAATGTATTTACCGACGACGTTAGTTTTGGGTATTTCCAGTTAAACAACTGTTTTTTAGTGTTTCTTATGAGAGAAATGAGTTTTTGCGTTGAAAAAACTGCGCGAAGTTGGCCGCGGCCGAGAAGTTTCCAGGTGGAAAAACTCTTCCAACACGCGAAAATTAGCAAATTTCAGGTGAAAGACTTGCAAAAAATTACACAAAAACCACTGAAATTCATTAACAAAAAGCTTTAAAACTTTCGTTGTAACTTTTCGAGCCTTTTTCTTCCTCTAAATTTTTCATTCATGACTGCTGGATTTACAGAACAAGACATTTGTTGAGAAATTACTAAAAATTAAAAGTTCACGATCCGGACCGCCTAGTGACAGCTGTGCTAAAAACCACAATTTTTCCAGGGACCCGTACAAAAAAGATGAAAGAACAGAAATTTAAGGAAAATGTCGTCGACGGCTACCTGCCGTGTTCCCTTCCGAAAACGACCTTCCGCTTGATGTGATTGTCACCCACACTCCTCACGCCTTTGGAATTCGTCTCGCAGCTGTCTTTCGTGGCCTCACGAGGCCAAAAGTGTCAATTCCGGCGATTTTCAAATGTTTCCTTCCCCGCGCGACTCGGACGATCAAAATCTGGGTGTGTTTCGGCAGAAAACTTCTCAACTATACATTCTGGATGTGTGGTGCAACACATCTTCTTCTTTTCCTGCTCTCCGCCCGCCGGCTCGCTCTCCTTTCTTTGCCGCCTACTTAGTGCAGAGTGACCGACTTTCGCTTCTCTGCGTCGTGCGCCTTTTTTCGGAGCTCGTCCGGGGGGTGTCACACCAAAAACGGGCGGAGGCTTGTATCTCATTGTTTGCCCATCATTTTTCTCTTCCCTTTTTGTGTGCATGTTTCATTCATATAGACACCCCCATCGCGTTTTTACTCATCTTTTTATTGAGCTGACCTCGCTTTTGCATTTTTTCTAGAATCGCTAACGAGAAATCATTAAAAACTAATCCGAAAGACGTAAATACGAGAGTATCCTTCACTCGCACACACTCATTATTTTTGCGAATGAAAGCAGTCGCTTCGTTTTTCTCCTCTTCTGTCCTCTGCTGCTCTGGAATATTTCGATAAGGAGTTGTTTGTCGGTCGGGGTCCACCGCATTTATTATGAATCCCCTGCCATCCATTCCTCCAATGCTTTTCAATTTGACACGGATGCGATATAAAATCGTAAAGTCGTTTACGAAAGGTATAAGCCAGGAGGAAGCCGCCGACGTGAAAAGGTGTGGAGGCGGCAGCGACGGAAAAGTTTATGGCTTGAGAATGGAGGTTTTTCGCGAGAACTCTTTGTGGAATGTTTTCTTAGCTTCTGAGTTCTCTTGGTAAACCATGGCGTTGTTTTTTCTATGGGACTAGAAAACCACTGTTCTTTCTAGTTTCCGGCGTTTTTTCTCGAAAAAAGACACAAAGTCAAGGGGGGAACAGCTATTCTGTTTACGTGGCCGAGTTTTGAACTTTGAAAAAATATAAGCCCATTAAATAACCGTGAAAAGCTGATCGAGAAACAAGACAAAACAAAAAAGTGAGGTGAATCAATCGAAAGTCGATCGTTTCGCGGCTGCCGCGGAGGTCAAAAAAGCACGGGTCTCGCAGCGATCGGACAAGTATACGGTATGCGCATTCAAAACGAGGGCGCGCGTTGCGGTTTTTCGGATGGCAGGCAGGGTTGGCTGGACGGGGAGAAAAAAAATGATGATTTGGCCAAGAGGACGGAAGGACCGCAGAACGCGACGCCAAAATGATGACAATAGGTGACCGGATCAGGAGCTGTCACGCCTGTCCCACAGATCAAAGGACGTTTACGACTGTTTTGTTGGTTTAGTCATCACACAAACACTCGTGTTCGTAGTTTGGCGTCGCGTTCTGCGGTCCATCGGGTCCCTCGACGGTCCGTCCTTTCAGACAGACTCGTTGCGGCCACCGTCCTCTTTTTCTTCTCCTTTTCTTGCCTCATCCTCCCCAACCGGCTATTTTTATGCAGGGAGCAAAGCGTTATGAACGAAAGTGAGTATGACCTTTTCCGTTTTCACAAAAAAAGTTATTTTCATATTTTTAGCGCAAATTATCGATAGTTGCCTGGCTCACGCCTTTTTTTCTACATTTCTGCTATGAGCTAAAAAAATCGCTGTGAGACCCTTTCCGCCCGAATTTTCGCAAGTTTTCCTTAGTCTTCGGATCCCCCGACCTCATTACTTTCAAACCCGCCGGCCGCCGCCATAATAATGGGTACTTGTGCTTCGCGAGAATGAGTGTCAAAGAGTCATCGGTTAATCGAGTCCCCCCTTCTCGCAATTATGCACATTCCTCTTCTCATTCCAATTTTATGTGCACAGGGCAGCGGCACGTCCTCCTTTTCCTCATCCGAATAGCAAAACGTTTGCGCGACGATGCCTATATTATTCATGCGAAAATGTTGTAGAGCGTGAGTGGCGCCGCCCATCATCTTCATCTATCTCCAATTTTTCCGGTCAACTGTCTTTCCGCCTTGTCTTTCTGCGTATTTTGACACCTTTTGTGTGTGTGTTTGTATGCCACGCGGGGAAGAAAAAGCGGAAAAAGCGAGGAGAACAATGTGTGGTCAAGCGAAATGGTGCTTTGTGTCCGTACGGAGTGCCCGCGGCTCAACTCGTTTTTTTTCTTTTTAGTCCTCGAGCCGAGTTTGCAACATTTATGGATAAGCGCTGTAGTTTTTTCGATGAAAAATCACATTTCAATATCGAGAAGAAAACATCAAAATTATCGTAAAAACGCCAAATTTCGCAAACGAGGAAAAATGGGTGACGCGTTAAAATTTGAATTTATGACGAGGTTCAGTGCGTATCATGCCAATCGATTAACTTTGTCAGCTCGCTTCCATTCCGAACATGTATGTCAACCCAAATCTGCCAATCCAAGACGCGAAGGCGAAGAAGAATTTGTAATGATGAATTGAGCGGAACTCTATTTGAATAATCCGGGTGGCTTTTCGAATGCAAATCATTGACTCCCTCCCTCGCCCTCCACTCCCTCACTGACCATTGTGTTCTTTCTTCAGCCGGGGCGATTTTGATTCGCGCACTCTCCTCGCATAAGTGCAACTGGATTTGATTTCGATTGGATTTAGGGACTCGACTGCTTACTATTAGCCTCGGATTAAGCTCTCTGTTCTTTTGGTGTTCTTCGTCTCGTGTCATGTGACCCCAATGCGAGCCCTAAGTGCATCGCTTCCGTTTCATCACTGTTTTTTGCGACAACCGGAAATTCGAATATCCGTTTGTCAGACAGGAGGCCAAAGGGATTCGGGCTCTATATAATCGCGGGATAAAGTCGTTCATAACAAGTTAGTCTTTTTTTGAACGGATTAGCACGCTTGTTAAATGAACGCTCACTTGGTGTATGTACGTTATTTGACCAGTTGTTCTGTGCTAACACAACTATATTTTAGGCCAAGTGCCAAACCTCAGGACCTTGATTCAAGGCCCTAGGTTTCAGTCTCCAGGCCCATAAGATCACGATTTTAGGCCCAAAGCTCGAGACCTTAAGAACCAGGCCACAATTTCTAGGTTCTATGCAGGCTCTAGGCTTTGTGCTGTAGACTTTAGACCCTATAAGCTCTAGTATCTCAAAAGAGCTGATTGAAGGAGAGGAAAAGAAAGGAGAAGAGAAAGTGCTCGTAAAATTGGCTCTTTCTTCCATACCCCTCCTCCCCCTTCATTCTTTCTTTCTTTCTCCCTTTTTCCCTTGCAAGTAGGTAAATTGACAGAACGCTGCCAGTAGTAGTTTCTCGTGGTTTTAGCTCAAGTTTTGCACGTATACATGTACTGAAGACCCCCATGCATTTATGAGAAAGAAGAAAATGTTTATGCCGACACTAGAAAAGTGTCTAATTCATTTATAATCCCTTCAGACTCAGACTCCTCTGAGAAGAGAAGAACACATGGTCAATGAGAATGAGAAATGAGTGCTCGGGCGGGGGAGAAAAGGAGTAGAAGAAGAACGAGCCACTTGTTGAGAGATGACCTAACCTTGTGACGTCCATAGTATACAAAGATGCGGAAAGTGTGTGAAGTTGTTAAAATATGAAAGGGTACATCTGGAGCTTATTATCAGCTTGTACACTTTGGAGATCCGTACTTTCAATCTAGATTGCTGTTCCATTTGTTTGGCCACTTTTCTTGAAAACGTCGCCCGTAGAATATATACTTTGATCTGAAATTGAGGCCAATTCCCCATTGTCAGTTGTCAATACTTTCCGAGTTTCAAGTCAAACGGAAGACTTCTGGGCCTGTCGAATTTTAAAATCTCATGACTCATTCCTTGATTCGATCAGCTGATTCACGTGTGGTTCTCTATCGGACGGCCTGGGAATCGAATAATATAATATCCAAAAGTCTTGTGCCCGTCGACTACATTCTCATGGACCCAACATTGGTCATTCTTGTCTCACTAGTCAATTTGAACTCTGGCCTAGCCGCCCTTAAAGTGCATACAGCTCCCCCTCTTTTTTTTTGTGTGCAAGCTTCACTTTGAAGTTTAAACCACTCAATCATCTGCCTAGCTTTGCTCCTTTTTCCCGCTCGTCAGAAGAATCAAGGAAATCGGAAATCAAATTGAGGAGGACCATTACAACAAAATAAATAGTAATGCCTCTGCCTGACTCGCGGTCTTAGACACACACAGCCATCCCTGTTTTTTTGCGCTC